GAATTTATTTTTCTTTCTTTTAATTTTAGTCACTCTATCAAGTTGCATACTTCCTTTAACTTTGTTGATTTAATAACTATTTGAGAACATAATTTGATATTAGGTTTAACAATCATGCTTGAAGATCAACTGAAATTTCTAGAATTTTAAAGCTACTGTTAGTTATTTGAGTTTAGAGAAAAAAAATATAAATTTGACTTGCTTTATTTCAACAACTAAAGTGAAATCAAATAAATCTATAGAATTTCTGTTTTTTTATAGATTAATGACTCTAATTTCCCACATTGTTGTTAATAGGGAAAACTTCCACTCTTGATAAATAAGAGTCTAATATGATTTATCACACAACAAATAATAAAAGATGTCATCGTGGGATGATTTTTGAAAGATGATGTCTTCAAAGGCATTCAAAATTTTGATGAAAAAGGTAAAGCTTTAGATGTTATTTCATCATACTCTTCTCTCAAATTATTGGCAGATGATGGAAGGTACTATAGCTTCAACCAAGTCTTGGGAGATTGCTAAATGCTTGGCTAATGTTTCATGACTCAATGCCTTAGTAGTGTGACCAGCCACCAAACACCTCACGATTTCTTTTAGATTTTTATATAGAAAAATTGGAGACAACTCTTGAGGTCGTGGAGGAGTTAAGGATAATCATTCAGCTCTAATAAATTGGAAAATTATTATATTTTTAGTGAAATTATTTCAAAATCTTCTCCTATTTTCCTTCATCTCACAAAAATAATATTTTTAGAAATATTTCAATTTTCAAATAACTAGAGAACCAATACAATATGTCATTTAAGAGTTTGGATATCATCATGAGAAATCAATACATGGTTATGTTAGAAAATAGTGTAAATATCTAAATTTTGAATCAATACATCATCATGACCAATTATGATTTGATCTCCTTAAGATATGGCTGACAATATATATACAAATAAGATGATATTTAAGTAATCAAATCTTATTCAAATAAAAGATGATTATCAAGTCAACATTTTGAATCATAATCTCAATATTATTAATCATGATTTTGATGATTTAAGATATCTAAATTATATATTTTCAATAGTTAAGATATATTTTTAATAATTTTTAAGAACTATGTTTGACTAAATAAGGAATCTAAATTTAATCAATTAGAATGACATTAAAATCATTTGATAATAATATTCTAATATCATAAGTTTTCATACTCAAATTTTACTTCTTGTTGTCTTGTTGATTCCAAATCATTACTTTCCCACTAGAATGAATTCTATAAATATTGCACATTTCGTAATAACAAACAACATTATAATATTAAATGATGAATTTAACTAAATATATAAATTTAATATTATTGATCACACATTTATTCAAGAATTGTTACGTAAACATTGAAAAACATTATAATGAGTTATATTTGAGCACTTTTATGTCTAACTTCGTATCAACTATATTTGACATTAGACATAATTTAATATTTTTAATTTTTAATATTTTTTATCATCATCAAACCTAACGTATAATGTTCCAATATTTCTAATAGTAAGGGACTTATTTTTAATGATTTTTTTAAGGTAATATAGATGATAAGATCAATATAATTCTCACATTATTATTGTAATACAAACTCATCTTTACAACTTTAGGTAAGTAATTTTTGAATAATTGTATTCTATTTAAATTTTATATAACCTTTTGTGACAGACTATAATGCATTTTAAACTTCCATAAGCTTAAAAATTAGTTATTCAATAGATTAATCTTCATGTATAGAAAATAATCAATGTTATTAACTAATTGATTATTTCGTTTCCTTTGATTAAGTGGACTCTTCATAAATAATTCAAACTTATCTTCAATTTTCCTTTGTTGTCTTTTGATCAACAACTCAATTCAAATTATTTGCATTCAATTCATAGTAGAGTATTTTCAATGCTATAACATTGAAAGACAATTTTTTCTTTTATGCATTCAGTATTTTTTTTCATTTCATTTGACAATTGATCTAAAGATCAATTGTTATACCATATGCTCAAATACTTATGAAGATTCCATTCACTATTTTAAGTTTAAATAATTTAATCTAGTGCATACATGTTGACTATAAATTGAATACCCTTGATGATTTTAGTCAAAAGTAATTGGTCTTTAGGATATGCTCATCAAAGAAATTTCTTTCTTATATATAAGGGTAGGCTTGATATCCTTAATTCAGTCTTATGTAACAACACTTGACTGAGAAAGTGGGTTGAACTCGTTATGTCTTTATTTTTTTTCATCCATATTTCTATGTCATTATGATTTATTCACCCCACCATATAAGTAAGATAAAGGCACACAATATTTTTATAATGTTTTGATCTTCTTGACCTACGTCTATTTTCCAAGGACATTCCATCCTTGAGTTCTATTTATTTCCTAGTTTATAATTCACTGGTTAGAAGGGCTCAATTCTCACATAATTTCTCTTTGAAACTATCCTAAGATTAAAGTTCTCTAGAACGCCCATAGTTGATTGAAGTGCTCATCTCTCATAAAGTTTTTTCTTGGATCTCTCTTTAGATTTTCAAAGGTGCCAACATTTAATTGAAGGGCTCAGATTCTTACTCTTGAGTTTCTACACAAAATTCCGTTATTGATTCATACATCAAGAATGCTCATGTTGAGCCACAATACTCTACTCTTTCATGCAGCCATAATATAATAGAATATCTTGTGTAATAGTGGTGTGTACTGTTCATGGATAGTTTTCGCATGTTAATTCCGAAGAATGATAATACATACCACATTAACCAATGTCAAATGTAAGAAAAATTAAATGAAAAACATGAAACTTATTCTATAATATATTTCATTAATTCCTCCTTAAATTTGCATATTATTCGTGATAAATCTCCATTTGATTTTCTAATCTGTATACTAACATGATTGACCATTTGAAATATTTTTTAATTGATAAGAAAGCGATGCAAATTTAGAATTAGGAAAAACAGACTTTCTCCTGAGCTTGTGTGAATTTATGAAAGGTTTTGTGAGATGGGTTGACGATGTTGGGGCTAGTATTAAGGCCTTTTGGCGCGGGTTAAGTGAGAGGAAGAGAGAAGGAAAAGGGGATACTAGGGCACGTGGGAGACGGATCCTGTTTTGGCAGGGAACGACGTGGGAAAGGGCTCCCGTTCACGGTGACACGAGCTTTGTTCTCAATGGCAGGAGGTTGAGCCTGACGGCGGCAGATGGAGATCAATGACGGCGCGACATAGATTTTTCACTTCTAATAATAGTCTTACTCCATCTCCCGGTGACAGAGGGAGATGAGGGGAGCAGCGAAGAGGGGGAGCTTGCAAACTAAATTCAAGCTCGAATCCTGGTTTATTTTCATTTTTAACCCGTCCAGTCGTGTGGGTGACAAGCACATGGTGGAATTAAATTGTCTTCTTGCTCGTTTATCTTCCTAGTTTAATTTCGTCAAATTTTGTTTCAACAACTCTGTTTTCATCCCTGGGAGACAAACGGGGACAATTTCCATTATGATTCTGTATTTAGGCGATTTGTTCGTGGTTCGAATGGTTTCTGTGAATGTTAATTGGTATGCAACCACCTGAGTCTAATTACTCTACAAAGTGATGAAAATTTTCTTAGGTTCCATCGTCAAGGATTTTCCTGTTCTACCACCGGCAGAGTGAAATCAGTCGGTGGGTGTTCTCTTCCTCTTCTCCCTTACTCTCTTCCTTTTCTCTCGCTCCCTTGGTGCTAGTTCTTGCTCGATATTTTTCAGGCTCCTGGTGAATGTTTTGTAGGACCTTATGACTTCAGCAGGTCGTCAGGTGGATAATGATTATGTTTGGAAACTTTAGCAGGCATAGAGCTGCTGGCGGCGACATGGCAGCTGCGACTGAGCAGAGAAGACAATTTCCCTTACCTTCTTTTGTTCTTTCAAGTCAACTAAGTATTTGAAAACTGAACTCAACATTAAAATGGACATTCATCCTTGAGGATCGACCCGAACCCACTAGAAATTTAATGCTAGTTTATGTTTGAAGTTCAGATATAAATTTTAAGATATGGTTGCACTATTAAGACAATGACTAATGAATATTATGTACCTTTGATGCTTCTTTTAGGATTGACACCTTCGATTTGGCATTGAAGAAGCATAATTTTTGTAAGGGATTTGATCATATTGAGCAGCAGCTTGTACAATTCATTTCAGGATGATCAAGGGTTGTCCATTGATATTTTGCCTCCTTGGATGAAGAAGATCATGTGAGGTCCGAATCTGTGTTATCTCTTCTTCTCTTTTATAGCTTCTTGAGGCTTGACTTTCATCTGGGTGAAGTGTGATTGATCGTGTAGCTCTTCGAAATTGGAGATGAAACATAACGAATAGATTATAAAACGAATACCACGTAGTATGCATTAAATGAGCGAGAGGTTCTATGGCACTTGCACTATGATAAATGAGTATATTATAATTTAATTGTGGGATACATAGAACATGTGGTATAAATGAAACTGTTTACTATATTGTAATCGTGGATCAATGACAGATCCCATGTGTGACATCATTCAAGTGAAAAATAGAGTCTTCGAAAAATATATTTGTTCACACTGGTCGGATGAAAGTTTCCATCTAGATAAACAGTTCGACCAAATTCACTCATCAACATGACAACCGCCTTTACAAAATCTAATTTAAAAAATATATTTCGGATTAATGTTGCCAAGTGGGAGGGTATTGGTTCGTATATAGTACCTTAAAGATATCGCTATTGATGATTTGAAAAGTTTTTCGTATTAAATCGAACGTTGTCCAGGAGATGTGATCGAATATTGTTCGAGAAAGTATTGAGTGAAAAATAGCTATATCAGAAGAAACAACGTATTTCCTTTCATTCATCCGCTGAACCTACTCCACACGGTTGGGAGACTAATTTTCTTTGAGATAGTTTCAACTTTTCTTTGTATCTACGTGTTGTATAAATGCTGACTTAGCCAGGCAATGTTCAGAAATCAGGGACGAGCAATGGCCGGCGAGCAACGTCTTGCGGGGGCGAGGACGAGGATGAGCACCGGGCGCCGGCGATTGTGCCGAGAAGCGCCGTCTCCGCCTCTCTAGGCGCCCGTCTGCGGAGCGCCGCAACGACTTGAGCCATGAGAGACGCATCGCATGGCATCACGATGGGGCCGTCGCTGGGCAATCCGAACTCCTCTTCCGACATCTCGAGGAGCTTCCGGAAGACGAAAGTGTTGAGGTATGCCAAAGGAACCGCAAAGCGTCCTCCGTCCCGAGAGTAGACGACGAATGTTCCCTTACTGGGTGCATTGGACGAAGCGCTCCTGTGCAGCGGCGCTGCAGTTCTATCGGCTGATTTGGACAGGGGGATCCTGGGTCTCCCGAGGGTGGCCTGGAGGAGTAGCCTGGCGCTGACCATGGCGGTGCTTAGATTCACGTGGGGAAGAAGGGAGTGTGGGCGAGAGGCTGTGGGATTGTCGGAGGTTTGCTGAAGGTGGAGGTCCGGGTTCCTCGATTGTTGATTTATAAGAAGAGCAGGATGTGATTGTGTGAAAGAGAGAGAGGAGTTCGGCGCCCTGGGCCAGGCCACGTGATGACCTTAAGGGGGTTGTCTGCTTGACTGGGGGCCATCAGGATAAGTGTCGAGCCAGAAACAGGACTATTGCATGGCCATGTGTGGTGGGGCTCACATACAGGCCGACCTTGCCGAGCCCACGACAGAGGCAACGGTGGCGATGGGACCCGTACCATGAGTTGTCACGATAAGGGCTGGTCTCTGAGTCGGACGACATGGACCCACACATTAAACGAGTCTTTGAAGGGGGACTAGCATATATAAAACCGAGCTATAAATTATAACGGGTATGAGGCCATTCTTAACATAATGTTGGGACTTATTCAGATGTACAGACAGTTTCGTGCCTTGAACGTTACGTGATGGTTGAGTAATAGTAGTAAGGACACAAGTCAAATCGCACTTTGAATGATGAGATGGCTACGGGCTAAATGAATTGTTTTTCTTATGATGTGGAGAGACGGGCAATGCATTATAAAATTAGTATGGGTGTGCTATCTTATTTATTTACTATGAGAATAAATTAAACGTACGCCATTTCTCCACTTAATAGGGGTGCTTCTGACTTTTATTGCAATTAATTCCTTTAATCTAATTTGACGTTTATTCATCCTTTTTGCATTTTTAATAGGCGTGTAAGAGGATGAGCATTTGGAAAATTTGGTAGCACTGCGTGTGTCATGGAAAGTTTGGATAACATGATAATACTGTTTTCCTGGGAATTTCATTAGACTCAAGAGATTTTTACAATTCCAAGGAGATTTTGTAGCATAAATTCTAAAAGACCCTTGCACATAATTTATAGAAAGTCATTACCATGTTATGATGGCGTATCACTGGTGCAACCAGCATGTGCTATTATTCCAATCATATTGACGAGTGAGGGAATATTTGGTGATTTCTATGATAATTCGTATTTCAATTTAGCATAAAGTTCTGGATAAAAGTTTACAGCCAAGTATGATAACTCGTACTTTAGTAAATAGTTTAGTGAAATTCACTCATAAACTACGGCCGTCGTTATTTGCAATATTAAAATCCATTAAAGGTATCACTTGTCTTCATATTGACGGGTGATGGAACATTAGAGCCGCTCTAATACCCTATGAATACCGTCATTGAAGATTTGGACGAACGAGCCATCACTTTGCAATTGTTGGTCGATTTATGGATCTTCCAACGGGTGGAAAAGTCTAAGACTGAGAAAATACGTACACATATTTATATAATATGATTAAAAATAATAGCTCAGGTGGTTCACTTCGCAAACCAAGAAATCTCATTTAAGACACTGCTTGGATGTTCATGACGACGATCACCTCTCCGTGACCGATGGACTTTCAGGACGGTTACTCATTGTGAATAACCATGGAAGTCCGTTGTTCCGTCTCAAATCTGACCTAGAAAGGCAGATGTGTGTTGATCTCGATCACGAATGTCACTGGTGAGAACACACGACTCAGTTTCTTTCATTCAATGAACAGCGCAGTTCATATCGGAGCGAGACTAATGCCAGTTCAAGTCGGTACACCTATTGTACGTATCTACAGAGGTGGTATCAATGGGGATTAAGACGATGTTCAGAATCCAGGGATTAACAATGGCCGGTGGGCAACGCCTGGAGGTGAGAACGAGGATGTGCACGGGGCCCCGGCGATGGTGCCGAGTAGCGCCTTCTCCGCCTCTCGAGGCGCCCGTTCGCCGAGCGCCGCGATGACTTGCGCCATGAGAGCCGCATCGCATGGCATCACGATAGGGCCGTCTCTGGGTAATCCAAACTCCTCCTCCGACATCTCGAGGAGCTCCAGGAAGACTGGTGTGTTAAGATACGCCAAGGGAACCACAAAGCGTCCCCCGTCCAGAGAGTAGACGACGAAGGTTCCCTTGCTGGGTGCATAGCAGGAGGGGTTGCTGCGCAGCGGCGCGGTGGTTTCGTGTGCTGGTCTGGACAGAAGGATCCTTGGTCTCCCGAGGGCGGCCATCTTCCGCCACTTCCTTGCCATCTGGAGGAGTCTCTTGGCGCTGACCATGGTGATGCTGTGGTTCAGGAGGGGAGGAAGAGAGTGTGGGAGAGAGGCATGTGGGATTGCCGAACCTTTGCTGAGGGTGTGGAGGTCCGGGTTCCTCGGTTGGAGATTTATAAGAGCAGGGTGAGGAGAGAGAGAGAGAGAGAGAGACGACACCACGGATCAGGCCACGTGATGACCACGGGGACCCGTTTCGGTTTGCTGGCCAGGATAAATGCCCGGGCAGAAACGGGCCCAAGGGTACCCCAGAGAAGATGTGATGGGACCCATACCGTGAGTTGTCACGATAAGGGTTGGGCCCAGCGACGACACGACGGGACCTACATACGAAACTAGTCCTTCCGCATATAATTCTGATACAATACGGCAAAAAAGACAAGCTTTCAAGAACCCGTCTTTTCCTCAAATCCGGACATTCCTAGTAACAGCACATCGTTCTGTTGGCGCTTACGGGACGAGACGAGGCTTCGAAAATGTAAGGTCATGCCTTCGGGGACGTAATCATAGGGAGGAACCATTGGAGCAACATAAGGCCCTTAAGAGCATATGGTCTAAAATGCAGCACCAAAAATACGGCACACAATTATATCAAAATATATCGTCTGAAACACTTTCTGATCGTGTAATAATAAAGATCACGGAAATATCATCGACCATTGAAATGAGACCCATTTAGTGGAGAAAATATGCGGTTTGCTAGATGAGATTCTGCGGATTAGAATTACGGTGGTCACTCTACGATGCTAGGGGTACGATAATACCTTAAATAGATGTAATCTTATGCTTCTTAGGAGCGATGCTTCAAGTCAAAGCACTAGTCGAGCCTTTTCTTCATAACGAATACGTTGTTAAACATGAATCGTAAGCGTAACCTCTTTAGAGCTTTGTTTATACTATGAGAATCGGAGTTTTTAATCATCTGGCCAAGTATGATTGACCGAACGGCTCTTCCTTGAAATTTGAAAGAAAACATGACGAATAGATTGTAAAATCGAATACAATGCAGTATGCCTCCAAAGAGAAAGAGGAACTACATAACTTGGACTAGGACTAATGAATATTTTACCATGTGATCGAGTGTGGAATGATGGAACTTGCGGTATGAGTGTGACTGTTTATTATGTTGTAATCGCAGATCGATGGCAGATATTGTATATGACATCATTTAGTGAAAAAATAGAACTTTGAAGTACTTATTTGTTAAGTTCGAGTAAAAAGGTTGCATTAAAGTTTCCATCTAGGTAAGCAGTTTAGCAAAATTCACTCATCAGTATGACGGCAATCATTATTAGATTTAAACTAAAAAAATATTATTTCGGCTTAGTGATCTCGAGTGAGAGAGTATTGGTTCGGAGGAAACACCCTCAAGATATTGTTAAACGATGATTTGAAAGTTTTTTCATATTAAATCAAACATTGTACCGCAAATGTGTTCGAATCGTGTTCAAGGAAGTATCGAGTGGAAAACAGCCATATCAGAAGAAGAACGTATTTCCTTTCATTCATCCGCTGAACCGATTACTCCACACGATAGGGAGACTAATTCTGGTTGAAATAGTTTAAACACTTGCTCGTATCTACAGTTGGACTCAAAGGGGACTTAGTCTGACAATGTTCAGAAACCAGCGACGAGCAATGACCGGTGGGCAACGCCTTGCGGGGGCGAGGACGAGGATGAACACCGCGCCCCCGCGATGGTGCAGAGAAGGGCCTTCTCCGCCTCTCGAGGTGCCCCTCTGCTGAGCGCCGCGACGATTTGAGACATCAGAGCCGCATCGCATGGTATCACGATGGGGCCGTCGCCGGGAAGTCCGAATTCCTCCTTGGAAATCTCGAGGAGCTCCCGGAAGACGGGGATGTCGAGGTAAACCAAGGGAACCACAAAGCGTCCACCGTCCCGAGAGTAGACCACGAAAGTTCCCTTGCTGGGTGCAGAGCAGGAGGGGTTGCTGCGCAGCGGCACGGTGGTTTCGTGTGCTGGTCTGGACAGAAGGATCCTTGGTCTCCCGAGGGCGGCCATCTGGAGGAGTCTCTTGGCGCTGACCATGGCGGTGCTGTTGTTCTCCGGAAGAGGAAGATGCTGTGCTCGTTCTGGAGATGAAGAGAGCGTGAGCGAGGGGCCAGAGGGCTGTCAGCGTTGTGTTTTGGGTGTGAATCTCCGGCGTCCTCTGTTCGTCCTTTATAATAGAGGGAGGGAGACTGGGGGCCCTGGAGTGGGAGGGGGCACATGTGGCGAGAGGACAAGGCCATGTGATGCAGTCAACTGTGTTGTGGAGGACCATGTTGACGGATATCTCGGCAGGACGTCAAAATGCTGTCGGACCCTCCACAAAATGTTGACGGGGGACCCAGAAATGGATGTGGTGGGGTCACTTCGCAGATGGGCTTTGTCGGATACCTGACCTGCCGACTGTTCCTCCGGGGCCACTTCCGGTATGACAAATAATTCTACAGAGTGTAAACAAAGACAATAAAATCGGACAATGATTCCTCGTGAATCATTATCATGATCGGGGTCTAGAAATCAAGAATATAATATCCCACAATATTATATTTCTCCCTCCTCCTCCCCCGAACTTGGTAATTTTCCCATTTGTGTGTTCATTTATATAGATGTAACCATACGTCGGTTAACTTAGGATTACTGGGTTAACATTTAAACAAAAAGTCAAGATAATTCACTTTTTCACTTTCTGCAGATTCCTACAGCCGACGCGTTCCTTTCGATTCTACTTGCACCGCTCAATTAGGCGTCTGATGGCATGTTCTTCTGATTGCGATTGCATGAGACAATCTTCATCGTTATTATTTTTCGTCGAGTCACGCAATATACAATAGGACTCAATAAAGCCCTTATGGATATCTTGTATAGACTGTATGAAAGACGAGTGTAAGTGACTCGTTAAAACAGTCTTCAAACCCCATGGAGTAGCGATTGGCGGTGGGTAATGCCTCCACTAGACAAGAAAGACGAAGAGCTCCACGGGCTGTTGATAGTGCAGACACTACCTTCTCCACCTCTAGCAGCACCTCTTTCTAGAGCATCGAAACGATGCACAGCATGAGCGCGGCATCGCAGGGTATGACGATGGGGCCATCGCCGGGCAATCCGAACTCTTCTTTGGAGATCTCGAGAAGCTCACGGAAGACTAGAGTGTTGATGTACGCTAAGGGAAGTACAAACCGGACGCGGTCGCTGGAGTACACTACGAAGCTTCCTTTGACGGGAAAAGAAGAGGGGTAGCCGTATGGTTCTGTGGATGTTCTCTCCGCAGGTCCGGTCCAGGCGATCGTTCGTCTCCTCACTGTGTCCATCCTTCGCCATTTCCTCGCCATCTGGAGGAGCTTCCTGGGGCTGACCATGTCGGCTATCCTTCTTTCAATAGTGACTGATCTACACAGTGGGCTTCTCTATTCTACGGAGCACAGTCTTTCTGGGTCATTTAAAGAGGGTGGCCCTGGATATCCGACTGGTGAAGGATTTGGTTCCTTCTGACAAGATTTCGATTGCTAGGCTGGCGTCGTACGCGCCCATGTGATGTGGTGGCCTACAGATTATAAGAGGACGCCATGGGACTTCTGGGTGGACGCTCAAGTGAAGAGTATTGTCTGCGTACATGGAAAGTTGTACCTCATGTTTCCTATCGGAATGCGATCTCTTTTAGTACGAGGGGTGTGTTCTCCATGTATCTACCTTTGCATGTTGACCTGGGCGAAAGGTCTTTCCTTATCCTCGTTTCTTTAGCCAATTAAGACCCACCCTTGTCTCTTTCTTGCTCTATCTGTCGTTGATTGCATGGTTTACTTCGCCGTTTACTCTTGCCGCCAAAGAGATCTCTAAAAGTAAAGAATTTGACCATAAGCCGACGCCTATCCTCGTCGACATCAGCTTAGCTTTCGTCAACTTTACTCGGAATGTCTTCTTTGAAGTATATTCGGCAGTTCAATGGTCTCTCTCAACGAAGGACTAATTATAGAGAGACGACGGCACCGGGTCGTACGAGGCCGTGGCCGACAAAAGAAGACTATATAAGGTCGGGACATTCCCCGAAGGACAGTGTACTCGTTATTCAAGAGTCTATGTACCCGTTGAGTCAATGGGACACCGCCATGTGCCCTGTCGCCGGGGCTAAGCGTCTTTGGCAGCACCCAGATGAAAGAGAGATTGATCACAAAACTGCTGCTTGATTCATGCACCTTATCAGAATATCCCCATTTGTTTTCACAATGGCTTATCTTTATACAAAGCTCATGAGTGACAACTCCAAGGTCGATGTCAGGAACGGTACAATGAACGACGGTGGCTTCTCCCTTGCAGTTCCCGGCCTCCCTATTCTCTCTCTTACCAGTTCACTAGAAAGACAAATGCCCTTTTTAATGGGCATATTTCTCCCGTGTAAGTTCTAAACACAGTCAAAACCCAAAGATCAGGTAAGATTGACTGACGCATGTAAGTATAAAATGAAAGCAGTTATCTCTACAGGGCCACTGAGATCGTCTCTAATTATGATAGTCGGAAATATCAGTATAACTACGTCTATTCTTCCAGATTGATTGACTATTGTCAGTAAAAAGGAAGTTTTTCTGAAAAGAATGTTAGTTAGACACTCTTTTGACCCAGCAAGAGACGGTTGTGAGACTTCATGCACCCAAGGCTGGCTCCTGGACTGAGCATCAGTGATCAGATACATGGATCATACGGTCATTGATCAAGTTTATGAGTGATAACCTGCACGAGTAAATAGAAATTTTTGTGACGTTTATTTAAGGCTTCATCACAAATTAGACATGATTTGCCTTACAAGGTCATAGGCGCTGACAATTTATGATCAAAAGGGTGCTTCCTTTCTAACATATTTGGAAATATTGAAACATTCCATAAAACCTTTTTGACCTTGGACCATGTACCACAAGGTGAAAGTCGATAGTGCAATCTTCTTAACTTGTATGATAAGCGTTGAAATAATATCCATTTATATCAATAAATGTCTCACACACTATGTAAGGCACATCAGATTTCATAAACTAGCTAACTAGTTCTTATGTGTTGATTCGCCTTTCACAGTAGCAATATCACAGGGACACAGCCCATTAAGTGAGTCAGTGTTTAGTGATAGGCGAGCGAGAGACATGGACATACGGATATTCAGCCCATTACTCATTTATAGCCATGCATAGGGTTGAATATGTGAACCTCAGGGTAAATTTTAATTAATATCTTATTCTCAATTTTTCATAGGTTTCAAAGGCAGTAAATACTTACAGGTGAGATTTCGCTGTCAATTATTTCATGTTCAATTAACCCATAATTACAATATTATTTGATCTTATTCAATGATAATATTTTTCTTGTATGGGTTGAATACAATTATGGTTAATTTTGAAGTATCCATGAAACCATGTAGTGAATAGTATATTAAAATAATTTATGATATACTTTCTATATCACATTTGTATGTGCCAGTGACAAAATATTGTGGCTAGGAAAAATAATCTTTAACCTAGATATTTTTTTTCTATGATAAATATTCTGAATACATAAGAAAGGAGAGAAGAAATGGTGCCAATTATTGTAATTGTGTTTTACTTGTAGACTCTTGATAAACATTTGTATATTCAAATATGCATGTATTTTGGCTTTTGGAAATTACCAGATGAATTATCTAAACTTGTTTATAAACCTAAGGCTGAGATGTTTGCTTAAGAGTCCATGATCATTCGTTTAATATAAAGATGTGACATAGATGTTTAGGTCACTGAGCATGTAGCTGATTGGAAGTCTTTTTAAATAAAATTAAATGTAATTAAAGGCTGCTTATAGTTCATTTTTTTCACATAATGTCTGTATTTATGATAAAAATCTAAAAATAATTTATATTGAAGGATGCTATCATTTTCATCTTGCCATTTAAAATTTGTTCATATTGATGTCTTTAGCTAGTCCAATTTCCCAGTCTTGGTCTCTAATTATGCTACATGTTTTAGATCATACTATATTGCTGTGAAACACATTATATTAATAGATATCATATGAATATGAATGATATTCAGTGAAAATTGATTGATACTTTAATCAATATTCTAATAAATGATGATTATTTTCATATGAAGAGACATTTAACTCTCAAATATTTAGGACATGTGAAAAAGAAACTACAATTAAATGGCTTTAACATAATATATGCACCAGCTAACGAAATTCCATGATTTAACTTTTTCTTATCACATATGAGTTATTGAGATTAATGAATGTGGTGAGGTGCATTATGAATCTTGAGATTTTTGTTAGTGTCAATTCACCAACTGAATGCTATAAATGCTTGTCAATCTTAACTATAACCATTTTTGGAATAGTATAGTATGTGACTTGACTTATTGCTAACAAGCATATATTCTACAGTGGACCTCTTCTGTATTAGTTAGTTATACCTCAATGCCACCATTTTCACCTAACTTAATGTATCGACAAAGATTTAGGTTTATACAACACACTCAATACTCAAATTCTTTCAATTCAATCTTAGAAGTCCCAAGTCAATTAGTAAATTTTCCTATAGTTCCCATTGGCAAATCTCCCAAAAATCATAAACCAAGTAGTAGAAAATTCAAATGAACTTCATTTATTCCATGTTGCACTCCTAAGATTATTGCCTGCATTCATTTTATTGTGGATGAAAATCATTCAGCATTAAGAAATAGGGAAACTTAAAAAGGAGGGAGGTTAATCAAAACATTGAGATATTCATTCTTCAAATGGTTAGCATTGGATTTACTAAGAATGAGTGATAATTGGTGAATGGTTTATTGAATGATCTGCCTAAAATATTTTCTTTGGATTTGATTCGGCTTCAAAGTCAATATAAGTCATCAACCTTTTAATTTTTAGGTTTTCAAAGATCGTGATAAATTCACCAGCAATAATGATAGGATAAGTCATATATTTTGAAATTCCAGATCAAAAATATTATGCTCTAATATATTAAATAAAACTGTCTTTTTAACTTTGTGAGATTACTTTTCATTATTCACTGGTGCATACTGATTATTGGCAGAAAAAATAATTTACAATATTTGCTTTTCTAACGTTAATAGTCTTATGCACGAAAACATATATTAATGTTCATGTGATTTTTGTGACGTTTAGGAAAGTAAATTCTATACTTATTGATCGAACAACCTGTATGACTGACAACCGTAGCCCCCAATTCGTAAGTTTAACATTCTTCAGAAATTTTAGTCGCATGCTAGACAACTCGTGATAGCACGATCATCAACTGATTCTTAATGGCTTTTTCGTTGGATTTCTATCTATGTAGGTAATCTCACAGCTGACCTACAACCATTGGCTCCATAACAACTAACAGCGAGACAGACGATTGAATCTCAATATGATTCGACGGGAATCTCACGCCAGTGATGGGAGGAAAACCAGATGACCAAGCCATGGCCAACTTATTTTTCGCCCGTTAGACACAGTTGTAATTTCGAAAGATAAAGTTACCAGGTAGATCAATTTCAATAGAATTTATAGAATTGTATGTACAAGCGGCATCAATTAAAACTTGTACAATCTTCAGAACGCACGAACTGGTAATGGCTGGTGGTCAATGCCTAGCGGGAGTGCAACAGAGGAACAGCACCGGGCGCTGGCGATGACGCTGATTATCTCCTTCTCCGCCTCTCGGGGCGCCCGTCTGCGGAGAGTCGAGACGACTTGCTCCATGAGAGCCGCCTCGCATGGCATCACGATGGGGCCGTCGTTGGGTAGTCCGAACTCCTCCTCCGAGATCTTGAGGAGCTCCCGGAAGACGGGGGTGTTGAGGTAGGCCAAAGGAACCACAAAGCGTCCTCCGTCCCGAGAGTAGACGACGAAGGTTCCTTTACTAGGCACAGCGGCGGCAGATTGGCTGCTGCTCGGCTCCGCGGGCGCTCTGTCGTCCGATTTGGGCGAGGCGATCCTTCTTCTCCCTGCGACGGCCATCCTGTGCCACTTCCTGGCCATCTGTAGGAGCCTCTTGGCGGTGACCATGGTGGCGATCCTTATACGGGGAGATGAAGAGATGAGAAGAAGCCCTCTTGTGACTCGGAAATTCGTTGAGGAGATGAGATGGGTGCATTGGGAACTCCCCTCATCCTTTTATATGCAAAACCTTCCGGTAGGTGGGGGAAGGGGCAGGCCATATGGGGGTGTTCTAAGGCCTCAGGAACCTCACCGACGAGTGCTGTCACCATCACTGGGGAAGCGGACACAGTAACAGAGGTCTCTTTCGCCATATGGGCGATGGGCCGCCACCATGTGCCCGACGCGGTGCGTTGCTGTCAGGGACCCGGACGACGGAGAGATCGATTGAAAGATTGTACAGTCGTTCCAGCGGTAGTTCAGAGTAGGCCCATGTGCTGTTCAATACTTGCATCTTCTCACTGTTTTTACCATTTATAAAGTAAACAATAATGACAGATAATTAGATCGCCTTCTCACTCTGCTCAATTTATTTCTTGTTATTTTATAATTAGATGATAAAATATTTTTAACATTATAACAAATTCGTATAGATTCACAGTTATTATTTTACTTGTCTTGTTCATGAAAATCGAACAAATATACTTAATAGTATTTTTTTTTGTCGAATGGAACATTAGCTTGAACAACTACAACTGAAATTCATAAGGAGAAATAATAGTCAATTAATTGCATTGGGTTATGAACTTCAATATTGTAAGCTATGTGAGGTCACCTATATAAGGTAGATAGTTATTGCTCACTCGATCTAACCAAAATGGACCTTTCTAAAAAACTTGCATTAAAATCTATTACTTGAGCATATTACAACTCATTAGTTCTATTTTTATAACTTATTTCTTACGTTAATTATATATGCTTATATAGTTTCAAAGGGTGTTAAGAGTATGAATTATTTTTAAGAATCATTATTTTACTGAATATACATATATTTATGTGTACATAGTAACGAGAGTTATTTTACAAAATCCAAGTCTGAATAATAATATAGTTTCCTAAAGAAATATGTTGCGTATATCCATAGATAATTCGCTATTCATAAAATAGGAAATTAATAAATGGAATTCGCATGACACCGTCACACCATCTTTTAGATCTATCAGGTTTAATTATGCTTTTAAGGCTGAAAAATGGAATAATATGAACAAAGTTATTTACTTAAAATGGAGCAATGCACAACGACCTATTTATATCCTTGATAACACTGATCATGGGGCTTTTAAGCTTGAATAGAACGGAGCCTTCTTTAAGTCAAAGCACTCTCTCCGACCATGGGTTTTGAATCGGCGAGATATTTGGTTTGGATGTCAATGGAAATCTTCAGCGTGTGAAAGCGTGTGACGGCGCACGCCGGGCGTTTGAGGGACACCCTTGCCTATTCCTTTCTCTCTCTACTCTCAACGATACGTTTTCCCTTGTGATTTGCTCATGTCAGAGGAGAATATATCTCACACAAGAGAGTTTGACTGAGTGCTGAAAACTAGCCACGTATGGTCGTCGACATCATCATGGCTTTCGGTGACTGACTGGATGGTCTCTCCCAGAGAGGGGCTAATGATGAAGGGAAGAAGCTTTGCCGGGTCGTCGGACAAGACCGTGGCCGACTGGCCGACTACGACGCGAGAATAGAGACGTTGCCATTAGCAGTTTTGTTGTGATTCAAGGGAAATTTTACCAGTAGAGTCAACGAGACAGACATGTGCCGGGGGTGAGACATCGTCGGCAGTTACACGCCTATGCCCCAACCCAGATGAGACAGACATTCATTAGAAGGTTCATGTGCCCGATTTTATCATACCCATTTATTTCCTCAGTGATTTGCACTATTGGCGTCCACCTTCAGGGCACTGAACTGTAATTTTTTAGTAAGATTATGGATGATTACTACCATACTGAAGTTTGTGTTCTGATTCGGCTCAAGCTATTTTATTGGGGCTACTTCTACGAGTAATCCTTTTTATCTTTCATGGAGAATGGGTCCTTTTGACATTGGCCGCCACACCGGATCAGGCACGGTGCAACGAAGGTACACCCAATAAATTTTCTAAGCTTCACCAACAAAGTTTTGAATCGGGCTTAAATTCACTTGTGCGCTTACGTACATCATGAAAAAATAGTTTACTGGCTGGTAGTCAATGCCACCCATATAAAAGAAACATTTTTTAAATATATCTTGCAAATAATTCTTTATTACAGTAGAAGCCCATTTAAACTATTTTGAGGTTTAATGCACCCTGAACCAATCAAGAAATATTTACGAGAAGCTTACGCCGCTCGTGCATCCATAATAAATACTTAACTACATGGATCATTATGATAATAACAAAATTTTATGTTCGAATTAAGTTACATTAAAGGCAAAGTGATTAGGGTACATTCCAAATTAATTTTTTTATGGCATCAGTTTAGGGCTGGACCGCAAATGAGACTCATGCTTTCCCTTATAAGCTTATGGTGGCTCCGGCCGTGTAGATGTTGAGCTGAAAACAGTCGGAGACTATTCATTATTTTTCGAGAAAAAAATATATTTACTTAAACTTATTTCCGAGAAAGGGAGATGTATCAAGGTATGCTACAGGAAGTAGCCTCTGGCGTGGTGGTCTACAGAAAATAAGCAATGTGTTAATTCATTGAAATCCGACCCAAACAAATTTTGATCTGATTTGACGATTATCTTTTCGTTTCTGCGAGGTGATCCCAAAAGCCAGACGCTATGGAATTGAATTCTGATAGGACTCATGTATGCACAAGTGATAAAAAATTGAGGCTTGGTAAAACAATCATCAGAATCCAGGGACAAGTAATAGCCGCTGGTCAATGCCTAGCGGCAGCGCGGCTGAGGAACAGCACCGGGAGCCGGCGATGGCGCCGATTATCGCCTTCTCCGCCTCTCGAGACGCCCGTCTGCGGAGAGCCGAGAAGACTTGCGCCATGACAGCCGCGTCGCACGGCATCACGATGGGGCCGTCGCTAGGTAATCCGAATTCCTCCTCCGACATCTCGAGGAGCTCCCGGAAGATAAAGGTATTGAGGTACGCCAAGGGAACCACAAAGCGTCCCCCGTCCCGAGAGTAGACGACGAAGCTTCCCTTGCTGGGTGCAGAGGAAAAGGGGCTGCTGCTCGGCTCCGCGGGCGTTCTTTCGGCCGGTTTGGACGAGGAGATCCTTCGTCTCCCCGCGACGGCCATCCTGTGCCACTTCCTGGCCATCTGCAGGAGTCTCTTTGCGGTGACCATGGTGGCGATCCTTCTATTGGGAGATGAAGAGATGGGAAGAAACCCTCTTCTGAGACGGAAATACGTTGAGATGAGATGGGATGCAACTCACCTCCCCCATTTATAAGCAAGATCTTCCGCTAGGTGAGGGAGGGGGCAGGCCATGTGGGGGTGTTCTATGGCCTTTAATGGAGGGACCTCACCGACGAGTGATATCACCATCACTGGGGAAGCGGACACAGTGGCAAGGTCTCTGTCGCCATATGAGCGATGGGACGCCACCATGTGACCGACTGGGGACCCTGTTGGCTGTGAGATTTTATCTTAGTGTAGATTAGGTCTATCTATTGTCCAGTACTAAAAATCAGTCTTTTACCATGTTGGTACGAACTCGACTGCATTTGTCATTACAGAAGCAGGTATGGAATCATTTCGCTAGGTTTATTCTGATTATTGGTAGTTAAGTTAAAACGGGATGATCTAAGTAATTCAATAAAATATCTAGATTATTCTCATGTTTACTTACAGGAAAAAGGTAAGAAGACAGTTTTTTTCTCTCTTTATTTTCACACAATCCTGCAGGTCAGAAGCTGGCTTTTATCTGAATGGGTACTACTGATAATATTGTTCTGAAGTTTCCGTGCAACCCAGTGACCAGTCTTAAACCCCAAGGTAGTTAAATTAATCCTTCCTAACATATTCAGAAGAAGAAATTTTATCTATCCATAGGGAAACCTTACATTTTGGATTTTATCTAAACAGCAGTAAATCATTCCGATCATACGTTTTGGGTAGGAAATATTGGGTTTTTCCGTTAATGGCAGTCTCCTGCAAAATGATTTCATGGGTGGTGGTGAATGTTAAATCGCAGGGATGAAAGGATATTACTGGTTACGGGAAGTTTTAGTTTCAACATCTTTCAATCACGGCTCTACTTTTATTGGCAATTTATTGGAGACCTAATGGTTTACCCAAAAGGATCAATGGAGGAAGTAACAAGACGTGGTAAATCCTCAGATAAACCTGAAATTTCTACGGTGCGCTATGGGAAGCCCCTGATCATCAAGGCCAATGAAGAAAGGAGAATTAATAGCACACCGGTTACTGGACTGTAGGTCGGTTCCAATGGCTTGTGCCAGAGTTCCTTGCATCATTGGAACAAAGTTCATTGATATTTGATTAAATTTTATGAATAAACTGGATTTGGGTCAGGGCGGACGCAGAGATTTCCAATTCAGACTGCTGATTGACGATACGGGCCATCAAACAAGTCTAAGATTCAGGCACGTGGGTTCGTTTATGAAACACATGTCTATCTTCTGTCTAAGTGTCGGCTTACATGATAAAAGAGGGACTCAGTTTTGGGAATAAGATAATCACGTTGCACATGTTTATAATGTTGTTAACCTTGTAACCAATCATTCCCGTACTTCGTCTTCACTGTAGAAAGAGACCAATCGCTCATTTCTGTCACCAACCTGACAACACTTTCGTGGGTTCTCTAGTTACTAATCCTCTTCCCAGAGTATAATATTTCAGCTAAGTATTCTCTTTGGCCTATAAACTATTACTTTTTCCAGTGAAACCACCCTAATCATTTCTGTCACCACCCTGACGACTGTATCTAGGGTTTTCTAGTTACTTATCTCTTCCCAGAGTATCATATTTTACCTAAGAACTCTCTCTGGCATCCAAGCTGGTCCTTTTTTGCTGTGAGATCAAAAAATGAAACAATGAATCAGACCAAAAGAGTAAACTGGTGCTTTATGTGGGAGTCGATCAAGGATAGAACGAAGCAGCTAGCATTCGTGTGCCAAGTGCATACTATCCTTGCAGGTTCCATAGGCTTCCTGGCTGGCCATTTGCCCTTGTGGTGCCACAGGATCCTCGGAGTTTAGGATGAATTTGGCGCACATCAGGAATTTATTCAGGAGATGGATTTTTTTTATGAAAGCTCCTAAATGGCAAGATCACTGGCTTCCTTGTTGGAGATGTGAATTAGCTAGCATCTCAATGTCAGCTGATTAATTGTACATGGAGTTGTGGATGCGTCAAGGTGGGTGAATATTCTCTGATTCCACTCTCATCATTTGGACAATATTTTTGATTGCTACTGTCCCTCAATCTAAGAAAGCTTTGGATTAAGTGGAGCACCGATCTATGATCACGCACATCTATCAAATCTAAGGAGCAACTTCTAGTAAAATAGCTGAACTGTAGCATTAATATTAATGCACCAACATCATTTTGAATTAATTCTCGAACTGGAACAGTACATATCCTCTTGAAAGCCATTACCAACATAAGTGACATATGGTGATTAATTTTACATGGGCTGCCAAACGTGTGCCAAAATGGGTGAATATTCTCTGATTCCATTCTCATCATTTGGACAATATTTTGATACCTGATGTCCCTTAATCTAAGAGAGATTCGGATAAAGTTGACCACACAACCATTATCAAGCAAAACTATCAAATTCAAGGAGCAACTTCTAGTAAAAGAGATAATCTGTAATATTAGTCAACATTAATGCACCAGCATCATCTTGAGTTAGTTCTCATAATAGTCACTGGCTATGGAACGGTATTTATCCTCTTGTATGCCTTGTACCAACTCATACTGGAAAGGAACAATATGCGAAGCATATTGCAAACGGATAACAAAAGTGTACAATCTTCTTCATTGCTACAACTTCATCAGTCTTCTTCATATGATTTTCACCATAACTAACAACGAAAATAAGTTTTGGTGAAAATCAGTCTTACTCGCTTAACTAGGAAGAACTTTTGTAGTCATAGAAGTTTCATCACAATTGCACATAGATGTAGTAGTTTTGTGTTCTCCATCTATAATCCTCTTCACTGAAGCTCACTAGAAGGTGTTCATCAGCATAAGACCCATATTGAGTGCTTATTTGCTATCGACTTATCTTCATCTTTATCGTTTATCAACTAACGTTTTTCATGATTTTCTGAGCACTAGTTCTTCAAAAATATTATTATAAATTGTGGCAAATATAGGAGGTTTTAGGCCTTATGTATTGAATTTCATGGCTTGCAAAAAATTTGTTGACCACAGCAGATAGAAAAGTTGAATCAGAATACTCCATAGTTACATCAGTGGTACAATTCTACTTTGCCAACTCTCCAAGGATTTAATCTACATAATGTTCTCAACCTGACACACTTTCCTGCCTTTTACAGAGAATTTGACACCAATATCAATGTTTCATGGTTTGGATATTAACATTTAGGTTAACGGGACGAGGCTTGACTTCATTTTCGAGTCTCCCGCAGAAAACCTCCATTCGAAAAAAATGCAGTCTTGACGGAAAAGACCAGGGAAACGGTCTCTGATATGAATTAACTTTGATGTTCTTTTGATAATTACTATCAACTTCATATGCCACCCTCATTAACGATTAAAAATTGCAAAATTCTACTACAAGTTCTTATCACCTTCACAAAGAAAAAGAGCAAGGAACAAAAGCAGAGGAGTAAACCTAAGATAGCGGAAGTATGCTTCGATATCATCTGTCCTTCATCCATCTAGTCCAGTGGAACATCGACGTCTCCTTCGGAGATCTCGGTCTGGAGATCCTTAGGGTCCTTGCCATCCACTGAGCATCCGACGGAGACGCAGGTACCGAGGATCTCCTTTACTGTTCCCCTCAGATCCTTGGCCATTGACCTCGGCCTCATGATCCGGGCGATTTCGACCACGTCGTCGAGGGAGATGTTCCCATTGTGCTTGATGTTCTTCGTCTTCTTCCGGTCACGCTCGGGCTCCTTGAGCGCCTTGATCACAAGAGCGGCGGCGGAGGGGACAACGGTGACCTTGGCCTGACGATTCTGCACGGTGAGCTTGACGGTGACGCGGAGGCCCTTCCAATCCTTGGCAGTCTCCTTGGCGATGTCCTCACCAATCTTCTTGGGAGACAGACCGAGTGGACCAATCTTCGGAGCCAGAGAGCTTGCCGCCCCGACTTCTCCACCGGTGACGCGGACGTAAACGTCGACAACCTGCGATGGGTCGAACTTGGGCGGCATGGCGGCAGCTCGGGCCGCGAGAGGAGGTAGCCGGGAGGGAGATGATGCTTATGCTCCGGCGCCGATGGCCGTCGTCAAAACTAGGGTTTGTGTAGTGCATCCGAGGATACTCTTTACCAGTTCCCCCGGGATTCGACGGTCCGGATTTTCCCTTCTAATCGAACGGAGTAGGTTGATTGTAACCTGCTTCATTGGTGGCCGTTCGTATAGTTGAAACGTAGATCCATCAGACGGGCCGTCATGTTATACCCGTGTCCTTTATTTTAAAAATGAATTAACCCGTATTTTTTATGTACTTTTTCTTCCAATAATATGAAAAATTAATATTACAAAATCAAGCTGCAATTTGATGTATTTTCCCCTTTTTTCTTATACGCGCTAATTTTTATGAATTATTATATCAATTTTCTTCATATACGCCTTTACAACTTCATTAATATCAGGCTGGATGGTGTAATAACTTACTGAAGAACTTATTAATTTATGTGGTATAAGAATGCGGGAAAACCCTCGTTAGAGAGAGAGAGAGAGAGAGAGAGAGAGAGAGAGAGAGAGAGAGAGAGAGGGAGGCATCCTAAAAGCTGATCAGTGAATGGAGATCAAATTAATTTTGTTTCATTCATGGAACCACAATTATAGAGTAGAGCCAAAGTAGCGTATGCGAACAAAACTAGTAGCTCGGTGAAGTGATCATCAAAATCCAGGGATCAGTGATGGCCGAGGGTCAATTCCTAGCGGGGGCGCGGCAGAGGAACAGCACCGGGAGCCGGCGATGGCGCCGATTATCGCCTTCTCCGCCTCTCGAGGCGTCCGTCTGCGGAGCACCGAGATGACCTGCGCCATGAGAGCCGCATCGCACGGCATCACGATGGGGCCGTCGCTGGGTAATCCGAACTCCTCCTCCGACATCTGGAGGAGCTCCCGGAAGATGAAGGTGTTGAGGTACGCCAAGGGAACCACAAAGCGTTCCCTATCTCGAGAGTAGACGACGAAGCTTCCCTTACTCGGCGCAGAGGAGGAGCTGATACAAGACTCCGCTTGCTCACCTTTCCTCGGTTTCAGCCAGGTGATTCTTCGACTCCCCCCGACTGAGATCTTCTGCCATCTCCTCGCCAACCGGAGGAGCCTCTTGGCGCTGATCATGATGTCCAGAGGGGAGAGGTTTGTGGGGAGGAGAGGGAAATCTGGGTGAGTGAACTACTTCAGACTGACTGCGGGAGGCTGAGATGGGTTCGTGAGCCAGTCCCTTCCCTCTATATAAAATTCCTCCAAGTTTATGATTGGTAGGAGCATCGCTATCTTATGGTATCCTATGTGGGGACGAGGCAGGCCATGTGCTGTCCAATGGCTGTATCTGAGGACCTCGCCGGCTAGTCCCATCATCCCCGAGCAACTAGGCACGGGGCCGAGCCCCCTCGTCCGCGAGCAACTGGGCATGCTAGTGGGGTTAGAGTGCCCAAGCTCTCTAGGGCCCCCAGCGCGACCTGCCTTCCTCTCTCTGTTCACTCACGGTCGATCTACTGCTTTAATCTGTAGGGTTTGGGCTCTGGTCCAATCGTCGACAAAGGTTTGATGAAGCACGGGTGTCCGGCAACAGACTGAAGTCAGGCACGCCATGCTGTAGTCTGATGAACTTCATCAAAGAGTTCTTGTTTCTTCCTCCGTCCTTCCGAGGAACAAGGACTTATTGGTAAATTAAGTCGACGATAAAAAACAATTGGATTGGATGCGAGGGGTTTGTAGGGCACCTGTTATGTGAAAATTCTGCATAAAATCAACTACACTGAGAATGATTTTATATAGTTTGTGGAGAGTTTGTCATCACTTTAGATATTTTATTTCTGGCCATTAAACAAATCAAATTGCTTAAGTAATATATTAATAAGAAAAGGAAATAAATTATAAGTACTCTCTTGAATTTAAGATAGTCATTTTAGTTCAAGGTAGTCATTTGTTCATCCGTACCTCTTCCTACGAGTCATCCGAAAATACCGAAAAAAGGGATTACTGATAAGCTTTATATAATCTGGTGAACTCGACGTAGTCAAAAGCTTAACTTGTACAACGTAAGCTATAATCTAAATCGTGCGCTCTTAACTGATCACTCGAGAGTTGCCTTGAAAACAAGTTATTTTTGAAAAGATTGAGACTAGACGATCAGAACATTGTGATTTCCAGTTTAGATTCAAAATCTAGACTCTAATTTAGAAGACGCTGGTGGTTCTACAACAGTGAGAGTACATAGCATTACGTATTATTTTGTATTTTTTTGGGTATCTAACCACGTCATCTGAACTTGGTGTCTAATATCGTTTCTGTGTTTCTAGGAAAAGTGATAGGAGCGATATTATGCCAGCGTAAGAAGAATAAAGCTTCAGCGGGCCTATTTTTAACATGGGAGATAGCAGGACGGTTACAAAGTTAGAAAGTCATTTTACCTTCTACGAATTATTTATCATTGCTTACTGTACAGTCTTCATCACCGAATGACCTCTGAACGCGTCGTTAGCAACGTACGTAGGCGACAAAATTGGTTAGTTGTTGGCATTACTGATCACTTTTTATGACCAAATAACTCATAGCCTCAATGGAAGAACGGCTCAAGCAGATATTTGAGAGCCGAATGGTTCATCTCGTGCCTCACCACCCATTGCCATTCTAATCGAATCTAATTCCTGGAAGGTGGGGTTATTGATATTTGCTAAGGGAACCGCACAACGGCCGCTGTCCAGAGGGTACATGACGAAGCTTCCCCTGCAGGGTGCGGAGGAGGAGATGCCTTCTCCTAATTTGAACCAGGTGACCTTGGCGCTCATCATGGTGGGCAGAGGGAAGAACTCCTATGGGAGAAGAAATCTGAGTCGACTCCGAGACGATGAGAAACATGAGAACAGTGAGATGGGTACATGTGCAAGTCCCCTCCCTCCGTCATGCACATCGTCCGGGTGTGCCATAACACAGATGGCCGGAGCGGGTTGCAGGCCATGTGGTGCGGTCGTTGCCGCATTCTTGGATCACACGGATGAGTCGTAACGGGTGGGCTTCGCCTCCCAAGTGTGGCGTCCAAGTGGTCACCAGAAGGGCCTAGCCCGACCTATAGGCAACGGTAGGTCTTACCCTACATCCGGCCAAGGTGTGAATAACCTGGACGAGCTCCTGGCTGCCAGAGTGGTCGCTGCCCCTGAGATAGAGGATGTGACTTTACAACGGGTGGGGCTGGGGATGGAGAAAGAACATGAGAGCTCCAGACCTCTGCTATTTCTGGTCGTCGGCTTGCTTAGTTGTCATGGGCCGTGGGTCTCGGGGAGACAGACTCTTCTCTCTCCGTCCCCTTCTTTAAAGGACAAACGTACAGTACTGAGAGCTCACCGGAAATGGAGATATTCTGAAGATCCCGTCGTCTCCAAGATGGGGGTCTACCAGCATGTGTTTGGGCCAGGAGTCATGTGATGTGGAGTGGTGATGTTGGGGGAGATCTACCACAGTAGTTTTACATAAAATAATATGACATTACATTTTTGAATCTGAAAATAATTATAAATGGATTATCCTAATACAACCACTAGGACGATCGATTAAGGTTGAGGTATAGGATGGTGAAGTTGACCAATTAGTGTGTCATATTAGATTGCCCCATTTACTCTACTCAATGGATCTTATAACGATTAAATAGGTAGCATGTGATAAGACAATATAAATAATAAATTCATTTAATAAAGTTAGTAGTCAAGTGGACACATGAGGGAAGAGGGAATCATATGCAGAACTAAGCTCCACTAAAGCATGCACGATAAAGTAAACTAATGTTGCTGTTTGTCAATTGGGAACCCAAAAAACTTGGGCGGTCAATTCTAGATCATGTCAATTTATAAGAGGGAATCATCATCAGAAGATAATACACAAATGAAAAGATAAATTTATAGAACAGAGAAGATCCTTAACGCCATATAATTGTCCTTGTAAGAAGAGAGGAAGAGGGAAGAGCCTGGTTCATAGAGACCCAAGAGAATTCGACATGTCGACGGCCATTCCCATCTCCAGCCCTACCCATCGTGAGGTCTCATCCTTCACCTTACAGACGGTGACAACTCTGGTAACCAGGAGATCGTTCAAGAGCTTCACTTCTTTGACAAAAGTAGGATAGAACATGAGTGTCTATTTGCCAGGTGACCCTTTATTTTATACTGACAAATAGGTCGGTCTGGACCCTCAAGGTGTTGTCCACTTAGTCGAGTCAATTGGAGACCACACTTGGAAGCACAAGCTTACCGGTATGATTTGCATATGTGATCCTCGAATGCAGCAAAGGACCAAACCACGTGGCCTGCAACCCCATCCGACAAGCAGTCAGGGAGAGTTGCTTGGCCTACTTGTACTACGACAAAGGGATGATGCTATAAAGGAACGAAGGGATTTGCACACGAACCCATCTCACCGTTCACAATTTTCTCAACATCCCAGAGCCTGCTCAGCTATCCTTCTCCCACAAAAGCTTTCCACTCCGCCTACAATGCTGAGCGCGAAGAGAGTCCTCAAGAAGGCGAGGAAATGACCAAAGATGGTCATCACGGGGAGAAAGGATATCTTGGTTCAGATCAAGAGGAGGTCCGGCGACAGAGCCATGCACCATCCTCTCAACCCAGTAAGGAAAGCTTCGTCATATAATCTTGGGATGGCGGCCGCTTTGTGTTTCCTTGCCGTACTCAACACCTTCGTCTTCCGGGAGCTACTCGAGATTTCTGAAGAGGAATCCGGGTTGCCCGGAGCCGGCCCCCACGAACGGGCGCCTCGAAAGTGGAGAGAGAGATAATCTATACCATTCAGGAGTATTGTCGTAATTTTACAAAATAAAATGATTACCAGTTGACTGTAAGATTGACGTCATCATCATCCTTGTAGAAGAGTAGTATCTTAAGTCTATTTGAAATGGCACACGGTGATATGGTCTTATTGTTTGTCATATTAACTGTTAGACATGAAAGTTCAATTAGCTAACTTCTTATAGGTTAGTCAGGTTGTGTAAATTTATATATTGTTTCGAGTACAGTAAGAAAGTCACTATCGCGTCATTTATTGATGAAGGTGACTATACCAAATATTGACTTGTGATCTCTCAAAATTCTTCATTACCTTGTTGGTAGATTTAAAAAGAGTTCAATTCCTTCTCACAACTACGAATATCAAGTTTTTTTATCACTTCCTATTATTTTCTTCAATGGAATACGCGAAGGATTAATGCTCTTTGTAAGCTTCAAGAAGTAACATAAGATTATTCCAACATGCAACTATTATTTTTATGAAAGCCGAGGGGGTAATCATGCAACTATTAAAGCTTAACATACAAGGGTTAATATTAGATGGTACTAGCACTATACTAAATCTTAAGGCCATGATATTTGTCTTTAAAAGCTAGTTGTTCAAAATTCTACTTCCTTCCCCACACAATGATAACATAATTTGGACCTGACCCAAGACATGTCAACAGGCATAAATCATCCTCTGTGATGGCATTGAGCTGGAGTCCCCTGAGTTTGCAGATGTGACGTTCCAATACTTTCGAAACTTCTCTCTCTGTTGATGACTTTCATTTTGTAAATCCTACTTCCTACGGAGGGCTTCTAAGACTATTACCATATCCTCTTTTTGAAAGTCTCAAAGCGGGATGATCCTCTCTCTTTGGATGGGCGATTAATGTATTCTTTTGTAGCTAATAATGCCAATATTGACATAGTATAATTAATGCAAGTTGGGACAATAAAATTTTGATAGAACTCTTTGGTGCATGTGACGAAAAAATTCTTGGTAAAAAATCTTTAAAACCCAAGAACACATAATGGGCGATGGGCAATGCCTTGGGTGTTGGAAGAAGGGGAAGATAACCGGACCTAGGTGATCATGTCGAGCAGTGCTTCTCCACTTCTCGAGGCACTCGTCTGTGGAGCACCGAGACGACTTATAGCGTCAGAGCTGCATCTCAGTTGAGGTACGCAAAGGGAGTCACAAAGCTGCTGCTGTCTTGAGAACAGACAATGAAGCTTTCCTTGCTTGGTCAAGAGGAGGGCTGATGCAAGACTCCATGGGGCCCCCTTCCCTCACTTTCAGCCAGGTGGCTTCATCTACGCATGGTGGCCATCTTTTACTACCTTCTCGCTATCTGGAGTAGTCCCTTGGCGCTGATCACGGTGGCTGATGGGAAGGGCTTTCTTGGAAAGGTAAAATCGTAATTGGTTATGTGACCATGTTCTCCATTTGGCTCTCTCCTCTCTTCCATCTTCAAGATTGGGTGATGGAAAGAAGAAGGAATTTAGAAACAGATATGAGCAACAACTATTTTTACTATGGGACATCTTATGATTTTTATATCAATTTATTCTCCGTTAATGCATTTCGCATTGGGTAGATCTTTTGTCTTTCAATTCTTCTGGATGAATAAATAGAAGCTTTGAATTACTAGACAGTCTTTACGTATGCAATGCAACTCTGAGAGCGTAAGGTGCTAATATAGGTTGAGATGGGTTTACACACTACTCTGCCAGGTGCCTGACCAGTAGGACCATCATTGTCTTACCAAGCATCGTGATATAGATCGGTTGTATCGGACTCGAGTCGCATTGACAGGAGATAGACAATCAAGACTGACATCCAAGTTGTTCAAGGGTTATGACGACTGGGGTCGACCTAGTAGAATAATACTAAGCCCAAGATAATGGCATTTTGCGTAATGACACAATGGCACTTGAGATCTGACCTTACCTTAGGTGAAGGTGGGAGATCACTTGGGCGATCTCCTAGTTGACAAAGTTGCTGCATCCCGATGGGCAAAGATGTGACTTAACGACGGGTGGGGCTGAAAATGAGGAACACAAGAAGGCTCCATTGCTATTGGTGGGATGGTTGTAGTAATGTATAGGCGGTGGGCCCTATTGAAAGGACGTCCTCCTTCCTCCGTCCAATAATGATTGCACGACACTGGGGGTCCATTAGATTGAAGTTCTTCTGCATTATACTCATCATCAGGAAAGTAGGATTACAGAGTGGGGAGAGCATCTGGGGCAAATGGCATCCGAGGACTTTGTAACTGATGGATTACATGGAGGATACCCTACATGGGCTGGAAACTAGGCTTCCTGAGCAATCACATCTCCAACAACCATAGATTCAATAATTTTGAAACCCAACACTCTTAGTGTCTATTTGCATGCCAAACCACAAGGGAATAATTCTTGAAGAGGACTTAATTAGGCTGTTGGTCAGGATTCTCTTTTGATCAAATCTTGTTAGTCACATTTTTCAATAATTTAAAAAATAATCCTTAATTTACTTTATAGGGCAACATCATTATAATGAATAGAAATGATGTTACTATCTCTATTTTCTCTTGTTGTTTAACAAGTGATTAAAAATCTAAAAATGATTTGTAAATCATGTGGACATTTCTACATGTTTCCAGATAATCATGTTTCTAAAGTAAGCATTAATTAGAATTAATATTAAACTCCAGTTTATGCATCTTTTTAAAATAGATCACAATGTAGCATTACTATATCATGTTCAAGGACTCAATATTTTCTCATCAATTCAAATAAAATTACATTGCACAGAAGTGTACTTGAAATGACTTAGTAGTTGTATAATAAATCACATAAATTTAAAATTATCAATTTAATTTTTAAAAATATTTTAGAATTAATTAATTAATTACAATTCAATAAAATGTTTCAAAAATAGTGGATAATTTTAAAGTTGATCATAGGGATGTAAGATAATATTAGATAATATTTCAGAATTTTTCTAAAGAAATATAATTTTTTACAATTTTTATACTAAATGATGATTATAAAATATATTTAAAAATTCACAAAAAATAGAAATAAGGGTACGGACATAAAAATGATGTTAGTGCCCCGACGAATATGAATTAGGATGAAATAGAGTTCTACTAGATGATTCTTACATAAGCGATTACAAATGACTTAATTGGTCAAATTCAGATTTGTAAAAGTCAGAAGAATTATAATTAAATGAAGAATAGTTTCAAAGCTTGAAATCACACAAAGTATTACTAAATAAAGTAAAACTTCAGTTGAAAGTAGGAAATGTAGAATTTTGGCCTTGTGATAGTAATTGCTAGAATTTTGAATGTTTTGAATAATTATTGTGTAATGTTTGTGACCTAAAAGGCTCTCTTTTAATATTGACAACTTATACATTTGTTGAATCTATTTTTAAAACTAAAAAATGATGATGAAAGTTAAACTAGTTAAAATGGTAAATAGAGTTTAGACATTGAGGTGATAATATGTCAACAATATGTCAGAATCTTGAATATTCAAGAGGATTGTCATGTAATATTCATAGCCTCAAATGCTCTCCTTAAATAAAGATAATGTGGGTAATCTCTAGATTTTCTTGTAAAATTTATAAATCAATGAAATTAATTGTTGAGTCATCTCTAGTGGTTGTTACCTAGTGGAGTGGAAAAATAGTGACTTTGTAGTTCTTCAATAACTATCACTCAATGAAGATGAGTTAGATGGAGGTAAGACCTATCTTAAAGAGTTTCATCTTCAAGTCTATGTAGTAAGAAGAGACTTTTCATTGCATTTGATATGCTCTCATGAGGTGGCAACTTGTCTTTCGACGGATCATCTTCTTTCCAACAATGACTTATTTATTAATCAATCAGAGATGATTTACTCGATAGATTTGTAAATTTTTTATCTAGAATCATTCAATTTTTTTAATAAAGATACTCTACAGATCGCATTGACGAGATTTTTGTTGATGATTGAGTGATTTTGATATTTTAATTGTTCAATAGAAATCTATAAAAAAATTATGATTTAGTCAAATAAAAATATGAGTTTTGACTTTGATAGGATTCGAACCCTCATTAGTTGCCTGCTTACATGAGAGAAAGTGATATAAAATATGTGAATACTCTTATAAAGTGACATCATAAAGGTATTTTTTTTGGATAAAAAGAGATATTTTAAATATTAAGATTAATAAAATCTTCTAGGAGATTGTGACCATTGGTTTAATCCCACATCAATTATATATTGAGTTTTGAGGTGGATATATAGTAATACAAAATTCTATATTCAATGTTTCCCTTTCTCGTGTGTATACAACCACTCCTTGCCTCACATCTAACTAGCCACTAGTGATGTGAAGGGGTAGTGACACACGTGTCCCTTACTAGTCTATCCTTAACCATTCAAGCCCTTACTTAGTTTCGCCTGATTGTGCTTTTGACCCACTTGTAGACTCGGCTGGCTGGTGGGTTCTTCATTTTCTATATTTTGATTTTCTTTTATTTTTCTTCATTTATCTAAAAAATATGATTATAAAACTTCACATAAATTCACATAATTAACCAAAAAATCATATTAACCAACTAAAAATTACTTTTGAAATTTTAACATAAATATAAGTCTATTTATTATGAGTTAAGGCTTTATATATATTATTAATTAATTATTAACTTATGATAATGAATACTTATCAATACTCTTCATAATTTATAATTATTATCTTGGTTCATAAAATCTAGATAAAGGAGATATAATCGTAGAAAATTTCAAGATAAATTATTATCTCAACTCATAAGACTCTATAATGAAATAAATTTATTAAGAATATATAACTTATGATTTAAACTTTGATCTATCTTGTTAGTAATAATATGACTTCAATCTCTTTGTTTCCTAGTATGTTTCTAGAAATTAGATTGCATTGGGGGAATTGGAAGATAACATTACTTATTTGGTGTGAAATGGAGGAAAAAAATTGAGTGGGATATAAATCCAATACCATACCTTATTTCAAAGGCTACAAGTGTTAAAGATCTCAAATATTGATGAGGACAAGAGTTTGAGATACTTGTACTTTTACTAATATTTTGTGAATATTACACCAAGATACTTGCATTTGTAGGAACTGAATAATCTTTTAGTCCATTTGCTACTCTAATGGTAACAAAACTGCAATTGGATTGCATATGGGGCAATCACTCTAGTATTGAAGATTATTGGCTCTAGCCTACCAAATAGTAATCAAGGTTTTGTCATTGTCTCAACAACTTTACCGTTACTAGTCCATAAAACAGCAATAATGCTGCTATCAAACCTCATCAAATTTATTAGCTTTAGTTCAGTAGAGAATAATTACAACATTGTCAAAAGTCTGACCATAGTGAAATCAATTGATATGGTTATTAGTTGTAATGATTTGTTGTCTTCCTTGATGTAGCTTAAGTAAGCTTTATCCATTTGTTCAACTAGTTAGAACCTTCCTTTGATAACTTGTGTGGCTTTCAACCTTGGAGGCAACCTCAATCTTGAACATCTTGATACGTGCTAGTTTTTTATTTTTTTTGGTCCTCAATTTTCTTGTAGGCTTATATGGACTACTCTAAGGGTGTATGTAGACATTGTGGCTCTCCCTCTCCTTTTTCCTCTAATGTAAGAAAAAAATCTCTTCTTATAAGTTGAGATTTGGGGAGTGTAATAGTCATTTATAATGGCTATTAACTATTGTAACTATGACCATTAGTTATCACATCAATGTCTGTAATATAACTTCTCAAAATATTCTTTATTTTTTCAAAATTGATAAAAAAAAAGCAGAAAAATCAATTTTTGATGGACTACACTCTTATTTCACTATACTTATGATAGAAATTGAGGCCAATTTTAATTTTTTTTTCTTGATTAATCAAGTGTTAGGTTGTTCATATACTCTTTTAAAGCACAAGATCATTTCGGAATTTGATTGCTAAATATTATCATAGTTGTCACAGTTAGGTTAGTCATAAAAACACTCTATTAATTCACTATGGTAGTTTCATTATTTAGGTTGCTATGGGTTGATCTAAATTGAGTGGAATTTCTAACATTCATTGATTGAGTATTCTAATCATGCATTCAAATTGATTTCAGAAAATTCATCTGAATATTAAATCAACTAATCCACTATGGGTAAATGCATTTTTAATTAAATATTATAATCAACATGCTAATTGAATATAAAAAATAGATATCAAGGTTAAAATTTTTAATCCATGATCACTAAAAGAATTTTGAATTTTATTTTAGAATAAATATTCTAATTAAAACTCAATGAAATTCTCTAATGATTAAAATATTTAAAATATAATTGTTAAATGTATTCTGAATTTAATATTATAATCAATATTGGAATTAATGTGAGTGCAACATTAAACTATAAATTTTGAGTTATAATGATTAAAACTTCTTATTTATGCATTGAATTAAAATTTTAAAGTGTAATGAAGAAAGAGTTAATTTACAATTAATAAAAATATCCAAAATAGTTAAAATCGGGTCGATAAATCTTTAAAATTTCTCATTGTCAAAACCAAGATTCCAATAGACCTAATGCTTAAGAGTTTGAATTTGAGTCAACATAATTCAATCTAATAGATCACCCCCACAATTGTACTTTATGCCACTTACAAGGATTGTCCTTCTTTTTTAATTTAAGTTTCTGCACTGTTGAATGCTTGCTTTCAACATATATTGTCCTACCACTTTTTTGTATTATTGGTTTCATTTTCTGCAGATGGCTTAAAAACATTCGTTTACTTTCCTACAACTCATGCAAATGATCAACATGTGAAATGTTCTAATGTTTGTTAATGGAAACTTGTTTAAATATGAGCTTTTAACATTTTTTCCATTAGGTAGCTAAATAACAAATTGGTGCTGGCCTTTGACCGTATTTATAGCTTGAGACTTTTTTCTACATGGATGCCTCATGAGGATATCTTATAGTTAATGTAATGTTATGTAATTATTGTATAATATACTATAAACGAAATCAGTGTCAATATATTTCATCACCACCATTTCCTAAGATTCATTATAATTTAATAAAAATAAAATAATGTAGCTAGTTCTAATAGTATATGATAATGATGTATTGCCATTTGACTTCGTTCTAAGCCATATTTGGATATAAAAGTATTGTTAATATCCTACATGAGTGATTTTAACTGATCCTTGAATGTAAAGCTCTAGATGGCTAAAATTTGCTTGAAAAGTTCATCAAAACTTGCACTACTAAGAAACACAAACTGATAGGATTGCCTCTTTCTTTTTCCTTCTAATGGTTTGTTTACTCATAATATTAAATACAAGTGTAACTAGATGCCTCATATAAAATTATATGAGTCTACTTCACATAAAGCTATTTGATTTTTGAGTTAGACGACTCAATTATTGATCACTATACAACACTACTAAGTTATTCTTATGTGACACAAAATCAGTCATTTTGTCCACATGTATGTGAATGGAGATTTTTTGATAGCCTTAGATTGAAAGTAGATACTCTTAAATGTGATGTCCTACTTTACTCATTATTTGCTACTTGTGAATTGGATAGTCACCGGTTGATGAGTTAAGGTTTATAATTTCCTGATTAATTCTGTAAAATGAGGTGTATTCCACAAGTCACCCACAAGTCAAAGCACATAAGATAAAAAGGGAAAATGTTATTTAATTTTTTTCTCAGAAAACCCTCAATAATAATATGTAATCTATGAGCTCAAGGAATGAGTTATTTTTGCAATAGGTTTTGAATGCCAAAATAAGGGTTTAGAATTGTAGTCAGATCGTGGAAGTATTGAAGCCTATGTATGTCAGATAGTAAAAATGAAATCTTACATAAATATCAAAGAGAATGAGAGATATCAGACATCAATAGGAGACATGCATGACTATAGAAGTACATACCTTTTGACATATTTTAATTGATAATGATATCATTTTTAATGCATGCTGGTGTAAGTATAGTGAAACTATGTTAACAATGATGCAATGATCAAGAGGGGAAACAAAAAATTGTTAGATAGCTGATGGGTACTACTTTAGAGGAAACAATACATTTGTTTTCACACAAATATTCTCTTTGAACTAAACTTTGATGTGTTCGGCATTCCTTATTTGGACAAATGTAAGTAAACTTAATAAAGAGGATGTTTACTTAAGTTGCCATAGACATGCTCCAATGTTTCACTCTAAATGTTAAGAACGGGAAAAATCATGAGCTTCAAACAATTACATCATGTAGGTACTTTTGATCAATTGTAATTATTAAGTTTTTCTTCAATGTAGCTTTTATGTCACGTGGGATGGTGTTGAAAGGGCTTGGCCGAGTTTGAAGTTATTGGTAGGGGCGCAACAAAATGGTTTCACACTTTTTTTATTTCAATGTTTTTTTTTCTCCAAAACCATGTTATCCTTCCCTAAGGGCGACAAGAGGTGTACATGTATTCTTACATTTTCAAATAGAAGATTTTTTTGAGAAATCTCTTTTTTTTAAAAAAATCTTTTTACACTGGTCCATGTATTATGGAAGAATTCATTTTTTTACATTTAGTCATTGGCAACATATATGGAATCATTCATAATGCTTTGGAGTTTTAACTATTTATACAGTAGAAGATGTCCAAATCTTAGGCATTATGAATAGTACGTGGGATGTGTCCTGAAAAATCATCTTTGAATACACAAAAAAAGTGTCATGAGTTATCTTTTATAAGACACTCATGCTATGGTCTCTATTGTATGTATGCTATAGTCAAATTTCCATAAATATTGACTTTTAATTAGAGAGCTGGTATAAATGGGAGAAAATAATAATGAAACTTATTTCTAACAAGTATCTAAATGATATTTAAATAAACGTTTTACATTTGAGGTACTATATTTATAAATTCCTCATTAAATAATCACAAATAATTTTTATGATTTCAAGCTCTTCTTTCCAACCTTTTTGAGTTTGTCTCTAGGGATGAATTCATAAGTCTTGAAATTTTCTTAAAGAATGTGAAAAATAGTGTTAACAATAGTAGTATAAAATTCAAAAGTGTTGTACCCATCTATTTACATTTGAAAGCAATTTCCATTTGCTCTAAATATTGTCGCTGATATCAGCCATCATGAAGCTCATTGTGCTCTTGATGCATTCATTTGATTTAGTATCTTGAGTTTTCATTTTTTCAGCTGATGACTTAGTTTACAATACTTTAAAATTTAAATAAAGCTATATTCAAATGAAAGTATGATCATATTGTAGTGGTCAATATACAATTACAACAACTGGAAACTGATTTCAGACATTTAATTTTGCTAAAGTCAACTGAGTTCCTTTCAGTAGGAAAAAGAGTATGACGGTACAACAGAAATTTAACTTGTTTTATATATTTATTCAATTAGAAGGTCGATTATGAGATCATATAATTTTTAAGATTTCAACGATTTTCACTTCCAAGATCAAGAATAACGTTTTTTTAAACTTCATGAAGAATGCATAAAAAAAACTTAGATAAATAATAATCTGAAGAGTTCAATGAAAATTCTCAACGAAAAAATGAAATAACTCAAATAGGTAAGGTATAAATAACATCAAATTGATTGTATACTTATAAAGAATACGTAACGAATGATTCTTAAGAGATAAAGTCTATTTTATTACTGAAATCCTAAAAAAAGTAAATTTTGATTCAGCAAAATAAATGAGGTTATATGTAAAATTTGTCAGACTGATTAAATTCCATGTTCATTTAGTCTGGCCGGAAATAAACTCCTCTATCATTCTTCAGATTGAAGAAAAGACGAAGCTTTCGGGAAGATTTTTCTCGCTACGTCGAGGCAAAGCACAGTCATTAATCCAGACATCGAGAAACCAGAGCATCCGTCCACACTACTCGCTCTGGCGTAGCTCTCTCCGCTACTGATGTACAGCTCATTCAACTCTTTATCTCTCATACTAGTGTCTCCGTACATACCACGTGCAAAGTGTTGAACTGCAAACCATAGATGGACCTCCATTCTTTGTTGAGATTCTTGTCGATGTCAACCTTGTCTTTCGCTCATGTCCCACACTCTCTCTCAGCTTCTGATCCATCTTTTTTACATCTACCAACTTAATGGCTTTCAGCTGCAGGGTGGGGTCTCCTCTTTGGCAGGAACAGGTAAAAGAGGACCCAACTATGGGAGAGATACCGGATGGGATGGCAGTAGGGCAGTTAAATGAGGATGCAATATTCGTGGTGCTACTTAAGCTCCTTGCATCCTTGCATCCTTGCATCCTTGCTGAGAGAGTGAGAGAGTGAGTGAGTGAGTGAGTGAGTGAGTGAGTGAGTGAGAGAGAGAGAGAGAGAGAGAGAGAGAGAGAGAGAGAGAGAGAGAGAGAGAGAGAGAGAGAGAGACCGCGGTCTTAGAATCTCCTCGAAAATGAACTAAGGGAGGCTGCAGGCTGCGCGAAAAGGCTGAAATGGCAAACTTCATCACTATCGAGTGTCATTTATTGGAATATCTCCCCTCTAATGTCTTGCATGGAAGGCAGAGCTTTTCAAAACGGCAGCGGCTAACTCCGAATTGAAGGGCCCAAAAAGCTAGGTGTAAGACCTGGCTGTTTTTTCAAGCTTACGGACTGAACAATAAAGAAACACACGTTGATCCAGCGGTGGGGACATGCCAAAGATCATTCATTCACCATTGAATTCTACAACTTGATAGCTGAAAACTACTAAGCGCCGAAGTCCAACAATGACTAGAGGTTCTTCTCATGTAACGAAAAGCGACTTGAAACGTCAATTAATTCACTTAGTTTTGCCATTTTTATCAATTGGAAAAACTATTTCTAATTGGGAGAACGGATGAATTGATCAAAATCTTAAGGATTATGAGAAAGGAATAAACTGAAAGATCTAAGGAATTATTCACGAATTAAATGAATCTACATGCGCGCTGCAAAAACTCTGTTCAACTTACGCGTTGATCGTCTTTGTATGATCTGCTTTATTATATTGAATATTATTTTCCTATGTACCCATAAGCAAATTTGAGGTTAAGTGAAACTTCAAAAAAGGGATTTGACATGCCTCCCACATCAAAAACTTAGAAGCGATCTTTCTTCACCAACCTGTGAATCTAGCTGTCACCTAGCTAGATACCTCTATGGCGATGAAGTGGTCGCACCTGCCGTAAGAACCCGACGTTTGGTCGCCTAACTTGGACGAGTACGGCCACACGATCACGGTACTCAGCCCTCCGTTTCTCATTTTGGCAGGTAATGCGGCAGGACAGCCAGGGTTCTAACAGGATCCCCTTTGGTCAGGAACACTCCTCGCCTCTGCCGACCGCATCCTTTCGCCTTCAAGCCGCCGCCTCCACATCAAGAAGTCGGAGTGTCATCCAAAGATGAATATTCTCCACTCCGCGGCGGGAAGTACTAACCGGGGCCAGATCCTGTACGGTCACCATGCGGTGGTGCTGTACAGTTATTGTATCATAACTTGTAATTAACATGCAAGATAATATTTTCACTAAACGAATTCGATCGACGGTCGATATCGTTGCCCGATGGACCGAAAGACCAAGGGGATGACTGGTGAGAGCTTCCTCTGATCCCACCATCCAGATGCGAACAACGCCGTTTTTCGTCCATTCTGCGTACAGCGACAAATAGTACATGCGCGGAAGGCCGCTCATAGTGTCTACGGTTGCTCAGTGACCCCACCCGCGCGCCGGCGATTGTCATACCGCTCGACAGTTGGTAACGCGGTCGCGTTCGTTGGCTCCATCAGGAACGGCGAAGTGTGCTCGCGGGGGGCAGTGGGGTCTCCCTTTGGATGCTAGCGAGTTGAATGATTTGGATCCTGTTTAGCGGTCGAGCACAACGACAGTGACGGATCAATGGCTGTCGTCCTGGACTGTCTATATCGTTGGGGTGAAGTGAACTCTGTCAAGCTGTGTCCCATGGTGAAACATGTTCTCTGGGGTGTAATGTTAGAACGGTACCAAAATACAAAGAACAAACTGCAGTTTGTAATGGAATATGTGAATTAAACGTATACGAATAAGTTTAATTGCTTCGGTTTGATCCTCTTATAGTCTATTAGATCATCACACTTCGCCATTGTTCCTAGTAAACCCTATGAGTTGAAGATGTATGCCTGCTATACACCTGATGATTTCGGTTTCAGTATAAGGTTACATATTCTTTTCCATGTATTTACGGAGGTACGACATCCATCAAAGCCTCAGTTCTTACAACTGGTGCCGCATTTGAACTGGTCAAACGCTGATTCTGATTTGTCATTTGTCCCTCCCTCCCGCGTCGTTGAACGACCCAACGCAAGCTGCAGCTGGACTGATCTTGATTAATTAAGAACTAGAGTCCAAAACGAGCAAAACAGGGGTGTTGTCTCGACACTCAGAGGTTCAAGTGGACATCGACAGGCAGTTCAAGGTTAAATACATCCTCTTCACTGTTGGGTTCATGAACATTTAGACAATTCAGAAGAGTTATCGCTGCCAGCCCAAATGGCAGGCATAGACAGGTGCTATAAAGCCTCTTGTCCTGAATATCGGCAACCAAGTCAATCTTCGCCCCTAAATTCATGCTTTGGGTTCCATATTCATACACTTCAGATCGAGATATCTTTGGAAGCCCAAGGTCAGATGGTGTGGGGTGGGGGGGGGGGGGAGGAGGGAGCATGTTAATGAAGCCTCCTCTTGAGCCAGTGTGACCCGGTTCCGAGGATCCCTGACGGGAGCAGCCAAAACCCGTTGTTTTCCTGCTGCATCCGGCAGCGGCGTGCGCACCGCCGAAGTCGCCATACTTCATCTCCCATCTCCGGCGCTCCAACGTCCATGAAAACGAGGGAATCCTGGGTATTCATTACGTATCCAGTGATGACTAGTCCGGTGAGATGTTCGACCAGGAGTGTTAAATGATCCCTTGTTGGAGGCTGTCTACCCAAACCGACTCTTACATCGACCACTGAGAATATCTGATCACTAGCCCGTATAATACACGGGTTCCACTTAGACCCTCCTGAAGCGGTAGCAACGCCGACCACTGAGAATTTATGTCGGTTTTGAATTCTATCGACATTAACGAATCAGCTTCGGAGAATCGAGCTTCTGAGGAATATTAATGGTAGAGATTCTTTATCGTCCCGATCGAGTGCTCAACCGTAATAGTAAGATGCACATATTATCTCTCTGCATGTTCATCAAGGAACTGGGAGATATCCCTCAAGCGTCACTAACAGAGGCGCCCAGCGAGGCGGATGTACCATATTGATTTGTTACTCTGCGAATGTTGCACGTGTGTGGAGAACGAAGAGCTTGGATCGGACGGTGAGGGGCTAACTGGCTAGTACTTCGGAAGAGACACGGAGGTGGGATCTGATGGGAGGAAATGTGCACCCACATGCTAGGAAGAGAGAGACAGAGAGACAGAGAGAGGTGTCTTTACCGCGCAATTATGATCTCTTTACCTGAATGTGCTTATAAATGATTCAACACCCTTTCGATAGGCTCCATGCCAGAGTTTGATACTTTCTTGTAGAAATCATGAGGCTGAGAAAGTGAGCAGATCGCCAGGGAACGAAGCTTGCTGAGAATCTCAAACGAAGCAACGGCGATGGGTTCGGAAGTGGGGGAGATGTTGGAGGTAAACTCACCGGCGCCGACCAGAGCAGAGAAATCCCGGTTCAAAAAGGTATGCGTGTTCTGCGGAAGTAGCCCGGGGAGGAAGAAGAGCTACCACGACGCCGCCGTCGAGCTTGGGATGGAGCTGGTACGTCCCGTCCTTCTTAAATTGAAACGAGACAATTCCTTTTGCAGTGGCTTTCCAGCTACCGTCGCCTCTGCCATCCTTACTGTTTGGGGCGTGTGTCCAGGTGTCGAAGAAGATAGATCTGATTTATGGAGGTGGTAGCGCGGGGTTGATGGGCCTGGTCTCCCAAGCCGTGCACAGTAGCGGCGGCAATGTTCTTGGGTAACCCTTCTATTCCTCGGACGCCTTTGTCTTCTTCATCTCGATCTCCTTCCCTCTGGCTCAATGACTAACTGCGGGCTTTACTATTCGCTTCTGTTTCATCTCTTCCCCCTCTATTCTCAGGATCATACCCCGGACTCTGATGCGCAAAGAGGTAATTTTTCCCTTCTCGACTTGAACTATCGTCCTGTTCTTCTCCTCATCCTCTTGTGGACGCCCACAGCTAACAGGAGAGACGGTCGGAGAGCTGAAGATAGTAACCGGTATGCACCAGAGGAAGGCCGAGATGTCTTGCCAATCTGATGCTTTCATCGCCCTTCCTGGTCTTTTTCTCACTTCATCTCCATGTCTATAAGTTTTCTCTTTATTGGACTCTGAAGTGAAAGACGAAAGGGCCTCGTTCAGGTGGCTATGGAACCCTGGAAGAGCTTCTGGAGGTCATCTCGTGGGCTCAGCTGGGGATTCACAGTAAGCCGGTGAGCGTCTACACTGCCATCTCTTCATCACAGCTTCTGTTCAGTGGCGAATGATCACGGGAGGGTTGGCCTTCTCCAGGTGGGACTGCTGAACGTTGACGGGTACTACAACTCACTCCTCGCCTTAATCGACAGCGCCGTAGATGAGGGCTTCATCAGGCCTTCGCAGCGCCACCTCTTCATCTCATCTTCTAGTGCCAAGGAGCTTGTCCAGAAACTAGAGGTACGTCTTCGACACCCATTTTCTCCAAGTCACATCTTTTCACTCTCCTTTCACATCTTTGCTCCAACTCACTCCTTCGTTTTTCAACTGTCATATTAGCGTTCTTTCCGTTCTTCTAATCTCGGCCCCAAATCTGGACAGGAGTATTTGCCGGCGGAGGAGTTGGCGATCAAGCTTCAGCAAGAGAAGGTACAGTTCGCCAATGAATCGTAATTACCGGATGAGATCGATCGCCCAGCAATCGCTCAAGAGGGACAGATATGTTAGAATGAACTACCACCACTGTAATCTGCATTCTCTACTATTTATATATATCCAGGACTACGCTCTTTCTCTCTCCCCCTTCAACCCCTCTCCCTTCTTCTTTCTCTACGGCCATTACTTCAACTTCTTGGATCTGATCGGAGAGCACCGGCGGACTCACGGCAGCGCTGTTCTGTGCAATGAAAACACCTCATCAAAACCGTCGAAATTATCTCACTCTTTGATTATCCCGCTTCAGACGAGCCAAATTAAAGCTTCAGTAGATAGTCACAGGCAGTGAATGGGCATCTGGAAATGGTTCACAGCTAGACGAAACCGTACTCTCGCCTATAACGGGACAGACGAAGTCGTTTGACCAAGAGAACTTCCGAATGCGTAAATCTGGTGCTCCACCCTTTCTTGACTGGGCATTTCCACTTGTGTCGCAGCATCTCTCCGTGCATCTTCTGTGGAGATAGATAGAGAGAGAGAGAGAGAGAGAGAGAGAGAGAGAGAGAGAGAGAGAGAGAGAGAGAGAGGGTCAGCAATCAAAAGACGCCAGGCTATGGGGCAGGAATGCTTTATATTCCCGTCTTCCTTTCCGCCTGCCTTTCCTGAAGAGGAACACGCGAGAGGGCCGTGCAAGTGCGGTGCTTCTCCGTAGACTGGTTCCTGGTAGCGACAGAGTGGCCGAGGGGAACGAGCCCATTCCTAAAGTCCTCCCCTCGCTCCAAAGAACAGTCTCCACGGGTCGCCCATCTGTCTCTTCCTCCGCCTTTACATTAGGACCTCGTGTTGAATCCCTCTCTCCTCTCTCTCTCTCTCTCTCTCTCTCTCTCTCCAATCAGTGATCAGTGCCAGAGGGGTTAGAAACATAGCACGCTCTAGGGTACTCAAAAGTGGAGGAGAAAGTCAAATCTATCATTATTGGACCAGTGGGCTTGACAATGGGGGTGTTCATCTTTTGTCGATCGTCGACAATTATAGCTTGCCGATGAGGCCCACTTCCCTCCAAACGCCGGGGTCCCGTCACCCCTTCCAGAGAGATAATTGGCCTACCTGTATTTTCTGTTTTTGAATCTTTGATTCGTAAGGTTAAATCTGACCCAAAACAATAATCATACGAATATGGATGATGATGCTGTATCATCTTTTAGCTACGTTTGGCCAGATACATAGGGACTGATTATCTTTAAAGCCGTAGTTGTGAGAATGGGTTTGTTAAGCCTGGAGCCATGGCTGGCCTTACAACTTCATGTTCCTACATTCTCTCTCTCTCTCTCTCTCTCCCTCTCTCCCTCTTGCTCGCACGTACGCAATATTAACCGCCGAAACTCTTACGCCACCCTATCCTTTCCATCCCATCAATCCCCTTCTCCCATCTCACGATGATCCATCGTTCATACACACGCATCCTCCCCCTCCCTCTCTCAAGAACTCGATTCCCGATCTTTTATTCCTCTCTCCAGATCATGAAAGATGCTCAAACTCGGGAAGGTCCTGACCCCACACCCTAGCGGACGGACACATCACTTTATGAGGTGTATCATTCGTCCCGCCATACGCCTAAAAACCAGGTATGAGAAAAGCTTCAGGAATTTCCCGACCAGGTACCGTTCCCAGTGGGCAACTCATCAGACGTCTCAATCATCATCCGTCGACATCTCCCTTTGCCGGTGATCCAAAGACCTTCCTCAGTCCCTGGGAACGATCAGGGTAGGGATGTTAAGGACTCCAACTGGGCGCCGACGGCTGTCGATAATGTCCGGCGGCGGCTCAAACGGCGACCGAAGAAGAAAGGAGAGAAGGAAGCACGCTTGGGGCGTACGTCAAGTAATGTGCAAATCGGAGTGCACGGGTCATCTCTAATTTATGTACCGTCATTTCGAAGATCAAGAAGAGGTGAGATCAAAAAATAATGTAACTTTTTTAATAACAACAATATTGTCGACTTCTACTGAAATCGACCAGTTACACCCCCTTCCACGCCTCAGTTTGTAGGGATGGGATTGAAGTCGAACCGTGTGGGTACGTACAAGTAAGACAAATGTTTGACGTAATCCGTAAAGAAGATTGTCCCCCATCCCCAAGTACAGACATTTTGAAGATACATGACTAATCGATTAATTACGTTGACTTCGGAAATGGTTTGAGGAAATGATCGTTGTTGTCGTGTGGGGGTGGGAAGTTTAAGTCGGGGACGTGTCGTCTGGGAGACGGGGGACATCCGCCCTGCTCATCTGGGCGGGATCTCGGATGCTCGACGGATCCTTGCTCCCTGGAGAGAGAAAAGCTTTTCTCGGTGAATCTGTCGTCGCTGCTGTAGCCAAATGTTCCCCGTTCATCTTTTCCTCGGCGTCTAGCCATGTTGAAACCACCCTGCCCGACGAGAGAACCGGAGAACATCTTGTGGCCTAACCGTGTGCCCGCCGAGGAATTCGCTGCCTCGGCCCGGGGAGGCCCATTGGACAACATGACGAGGTACGACGCCACCTCGTGCTCCAGGTCTTGGAATCGTCGGTGGGTTCCTTGGAGAGGACGAGTTCGTGGGGTAGGCGAAGAAGGAACTTCGAGCGAGGGTTGGAGGCGGCGGATGTGCGGTGGGGGGTTGATGCCGCGCCACTGGCGGTCCGGGTGGCAGCGCATGTGGCCAAAGAGGGCCTTCTGCGACCAGAACCTCTTACCGCACTCACTGCAGGGGGCGGTGATGGTGGCTGCCGAGCGGTCTGGTTTCTTCTTGAACTTGGGTGTAGAAGGGCTTGCCAGGCCGATTGGGCGACCCTCCTGGCTGGCCGTCACAACCCTATTCTCTTCCTGCCCCTGTGGTGCACTTCCGCTAGGTGTGGCGGAGGGCCCGTCGGTGCTGCTTGGTGCGGGTGGAGGAGGGGACTGACGGTCGCCTTGGACTGGGAAGAATCCATCGGGAATTAAGTCACTCATCTGGGAGTTCAGCAGAGCAGTATTGTGTTACAACAACTGCCAGCCGAGGATAAGAACTCAGATCTCTCTCTCTTTCTCTCTCTCCTTCTCATCTTCACTCCTTCCCTCGGTTCGTAAGCGGTTTGGGCGGTTACCTCCTTCTCTACCTCTTCCCTCTCTGTCGAGTGCCCTTCCCCATTTCGAAGTTCAAAACCGCGGTGTCTTTTCCTCTGTCGGTTACTTGGATGTTCCATCGAGCAGCTCCAGGAACGCGTCGGCCCCCTGGCTGGAAACTTCCTATCCAAGGTCGATACCGGCGAAACGGTTAGTTCCTGCCAAGATCAAACGAGAATCTAGTGCCTTGTTCTTGATCTTCCGTGCAACCGTGGTTCATGGGATTGTTCGAGGTCAACCATCTGCCCGCCCTCGATCATCACAGAGAGAGAGAAAGAGAGAGAGAGAGAGAGAGAGAGAGAGAGAGAGAGAGAGAGAGAACAAGGCATTTCTCTTGCTCGGTCATTGGACATTGCTCCCATTCGTAACAATACGAAGATGTGCGCACAAAAACTTGTGCAAATCAGCGCCTTTTAATTTACTTTCCCTTGAACTGATACACGCGACACCTCACACGATTTTATACCCAAATGCCGACAAATATAGAAAGTGGAGGAATGAAGATTATCGGGATGTCTTCGTGGCCAATGAGGGCTTGTGGCTGTCTGTCCGTCTGCATGGGAGACACGTTTACAGCGGCGTTACTTCGTCGCGATAAACAAGGGAGGCAGCGCGAGAGGAAGACGAGGAGATGGCGACGCCCGAGAAGACCCAGAAGGAGAAGAAGGTGGAGGAGAAACACCGGGAAGTGCACCATGCCCATCACATATCTGAGATGAGGCCCATCACACAGGGAGCCTACGGCGGGGGCATGTACGGGACAGAGGCTGGGGAGGCCGCCGGCAAGCCAGCGAAGCCGCCGGCGAGCGAGACGCAGAGCGCCGACGGGCCGGCGGAGCCCGTGGCACCACCCAGACACAAGCCGCCGCCTTCCACCGGCGACGTGGACGTGGACGTCACCGGGCAGTCCTACTTCCAATGAAAGCTAGTTCTAACGCTTCCCATGTGTTGTTGGTAGGCATACTTTTTTTTTATGCTACGCTCATCTCTCCCTCACTTGACAGTGGATCGTTGTACTCCTTCCTCTCTCTTGTTGACTGTGGATGGTCAAACTCTCTCTTCACTTGGGGTGGCCATGCCCCTCTATATCTCTCTATGTTGACTGTGACCGGCCGGAAGCGAGCGAGCGAGCGAGAGAGAGAGAGAGAGAGAGAGAGAGAGAGATTTGTCTGAACAGCGGAGGATTCAACATACTGAAATAAGCATCCGAAAGAAAAAAAAACAACTCAAAACCAGATTTCAACTCGTGAACGTGGTGTCAACATGAAAGCTGTAGTGGGGCGGAAGTAGTAGATTTACATGGCAGCATTACCTCTCCCGGGAAGAAGGGGATCCAAGCCTTAGAAAAGTCATATATCTGATTCTAACCGCGACGACCAGGCAGCTCCAGAAGATATCCCTTTATTGTCCCATCTAGGCCGAAAAAACGCACGAGTCAACGCGGAAGCTCTCGCAGAATATGGGAACACTTATTTTCTCGGCAGATATGATTTCACGGACTCCACGACCACCTGCGTTCCACAGAAGAGTAGATCGCCATTGCTAGAATGTCAGCACCGAGTCAACAATCCCCAGAAGAGCTCATTGAACTCTAACCTGATTTTCAAGTCAGAATTTTGCTTCGCACTTCGGAATCTTATTTATTTCTATATGATAACAATATTCGTCGAATTATATTTTCTTTCTAATGTTTGTAAACACTCGACAGAGAGATGAAAATCGATGTGATGCATATGAAGCTTGGAAAATGTGGAAAAAAAAAAATCCCTCCACGATAAATATAAATTAATAAAATAAGGGAAATTTGTTGTCCATATACCTGGGAGTAGTTGCCCATGAACATGAACGACTAAATATTATAAGGCGTTTATCTCAACAAAAAATAGGCAGTAAAAGAGTAATGCTAGTTTTCTTACTCTCCCATCATATGACAATGAAGCAAACATTGACGGCTCCCGTGAGCTCCAGGCAATACCTGCCATTTTTTTTGGCAGAGTTATTAAGCTAAAAGTTAAGACTATAGGCTCATACAGTGTTCAGTAATACCATAAACACTGTTCTCATAGTCGGTGTATGAATTGAGCAGAGGATCCATTTTCTGAGTTGGGGAATCGCTTTGACTGAAGATGGCAGCAAGAGCACAGCGAGCAAATTAGTAAATAATAAAGAGAGATCAAGTATATCTAAATAGGTTTAATAGAAGGGCATATATAACCTTTCGGAAGTAGAATCATCGCTGTTGTTGGAAGATGTCAGCCACAAGTTCACAGTCGAATCTGTTCCAGAGCTCTGCAAATTCAAATGCCGAGTGAATGGCAGAGAAAATGCAGACGAAGAGGTAAATGAAGGAAAACGATACAAGCACGTGTGCACACGAATAAGAGAGAGAGAGAGAGAGAGAGAGAGAGAGAGAGAGAGAGAGAGAGAGAGAGAGAGAGAGAGAGATACCAGGATCAACTGATCATATTGAGGGTTGTGCCGAATGGCCCACGTCCTGCAAATTGAATCATAATCTCAATAAACTTAACTTCGAACAATGTTGCATGAAATAAGACAAACAGCAGTATGCATATGCACCCATCAGATCTCCATCAAAATGTCCCATAAATCACTAAATAAGAGAAGAAGAACAAGGTGGAAAAACGTAGAGAAAGAAAAATGTGGGAAGAGTGATGGATCCTCTTTCCTGCAATGATGACGTGATGCAATGAACTCTTTCCTGCAGTCTTACAGTAGAATAAGAGAAAGTACCAATGTGCATGTCCAGGGAGCTCACTGAACGGAAAATTGGGCATTCTAAGATCCCATAAGTGTATCCCAGTTTCGTCTTCAGCAGTAGCCTGTGAATGTTCGAACAGGATAAGCAATTATAATGTGGTCAAGGATTCTGAAAGTAGATTATGTTGAAAAGGAAGACCATTGAATGACTCTTAAGTAAGGTGAAAGATGCAACCATTCTGAAGAACTACTACCAAAAATCATTTGCAAAAAGATGTGACATGAGATTGAATAGATTGGATCAGCTATCATGTGTTCCGTGAATCTGAATTAAGATAACTGCTGTCTCCAATAAACTCACTCTAGAGGTGGCGAGATGCAAATTCTACTCACAACGATGTGCTGTTTGTTGGGATTATAATCTGCATCTCGAACATGTACGAGTTCTATGGAATTTGTTTTCCTGAAAGAGACGATATATTTAGAGTTTGTGTTATGATTAGCATATGATATAACCTCAACCTGTTTTTTATGTGTATTACCATGCATCAAAATTAAAGACAACTGTCAGCAAAGCACATGTTAAGAGGAACAAGTGAAGTCAAACAGGGCGAACATTAAAATATCAAATGCAACGGACTAGAGGAAGAATAAAAAAGCACATGTTTTTTTACAACATATTTCAAAAAAAATGTATAAGAGACTTAGCAAATGTTTCACATGAAGTACACAATACCGTATAAGAATCACTATTGACGCAGGAGAAATTTAACCAAGTGGTTCCAATTTCAGGTTAGAATTGGGGCACCTACATACAAGGGCTGAATGATCTATTTTCTTCTGGTATCACGTTAACTTAACCTGGTCCTTAACAAGTTTGTCATTTGTATGTCACCTCTTGCGACTAACAGCAGGCCATCATTAATATTAAGGGTTTTGATACTGACGTTTTGCAAAGTCTTGAATTTAGAAGGTTGCTAGAAGTTACTGATATTTTTACAAACCAAATGTGAAGAAATAAAATTCTAAAGAAAAACTATGTTCAACTACAATAACATATGCAATCTCTCATCAGTGAAACTATAATGAGAACCGACACAACGTAGGTGAAAAACAAAAGAACTAGAAAGAAACGTATTCTTACATGAATTTGAAAAGTTGATTCGTTAAATGGGGTTTAAAGTGAGGCAGACACTGTAAGAATCAGACGAGTAAGCCTGCCTCACTGTTAGAGTATTGGCCAAGATTATTTTAAAAGTGAACTTTGGAGAAGATAGACTCATTAAATGCCATTTTACTTTTTTAACTAAATTTTCGGTAAAAAGGAAATGTGAGCTCCTCAATCATACTCATCTGACAACACATCAAATCAGGAAACTGCTCAAATGGTATAACAATACAAACGCCAGAAGGAATATACATACAAGATGGCACACATATTATCTATGTAAAGATGTTAATGAGACAAGACAAAAGAAGTACACCCTTTCTGTCAAGATGTGTCAATAACGATCTATTAAACAAAGCATACAAGGTGAAAACCCTTCACGATGTCCAGGATTGATTACACTGCAATATACATACTTCATTGTGCGCAGATCCCAACATTGCAGTGACGAGTCACAAAAGGCAGCAACTGTATTTCGGTCATGCGGATCCCATGCTCCACCGGATAAGTGATGTAGGACACCTACAGATTCCTGTGATTGGACCTGTATTGTAAAAATTCTAATGAGACACCAATAATTTGGAGCTGTTAAATCTTCAGAATGTGTTCTCCATTTAAAATTAAACTGCCATATCACATAGAGGTAAAACACAAAACTTAGGCAGGAAAGAGATCAAAGAAGGAAGAAGACTAATACCCATTCAAAAGGGAAAAAATAGTACAGTTCATCTGGGACAATTGGTGCCCGTATTCCAGACCAGCCTGAAATCTCAGCTTCGCCCAACAAAGGCACCAGATGCATCCAAGTGGTAGGCACCTTACTCACAATGCGGCAACCCTTTTCCCCACCTCTCACCCCTCAGTGGAGTTGGGTGAGGCGAGTCCAACATGGGAAAATCAGACCCTAGCATAAGCATGCTCTTCCAGAACTTTTCCCAGGCCTTGTAGCAAATAGATGGACTGGGCCTAGCACATTGACACCCCCAGTGGAACTACGAAAGGCAAATTCTCTAAGATATCTAGGATCCAACCCTTAAAAGCCACTGAATGCATGTTAGTGCAAGATATTGGAATCACTGTATTTAGTAAAAGCACTGAAACGGTTGGCCCAGGTGCCATTTCAGGCATAATAGACAAAGCAAGGGAAGATTTTTCAAACTTTAGAGTAAATTTAAAATTTAATAGAGAATGTCACTTCACAAGATTTACGATAACGCAGAATATTGCAGATAAAAAGGACTCCTACTGCAAATCGCACGATAATAAAAGATCCATTCGAACAGCAGCCTCCATTACAGGTAGAAACTACGAACAAGATTTGACTGAATTGCCAACAAGAGCTGAAAGGAGATGAAAACCAGAAATAACTTTCAATTACTTAAAAGTATGGTCCATTCAGCACCAGAGATGACATTGATAAAAAAAAAAGGAGTGGAGTAGTGCTACGTACGAGATGAAGCAAAAAAGAGGAGCAAATGAATGTTAATAGAACATCTATGACCTATATGAAGTTACATAACACACCTCGGCTATTTTCCTAGAACAATCCAAGCTCCACAGGAATAGATTTTGTTCGTCAATACTGATCACTTTATCATGCTTTCCAATTGGCCACCAAAGAATGCTGTTAAGAAAAAAAACAGACATCAACTGTATCAGACAGAGGTGGAGAAGTGAAAGAATTGGACGTCAGTACAAAAAATTGCCTGATACAACAAGTAATAAAAATTAACGCATATACAATCAATAGCTTTATGGATAGCAAAATAGAAAATACAAAGAAGCAAATTCAAAAAATTGCTGATGAATACTATTCTGAAGATATTGAAATGTGTCAGGAAAAAAGGATGATGGTGTTTCAAGCTAAAAATATTCTCCATATCAAACCCTTCTTTCAGAGGACAAAATCACAAATTCAATCAGTATAAAAAACACATACGGAGGCATCCAAGTGTAAGTCAATCAACACTTATAAAAAAACTCAAAACAACAGCAGCTGGTACTGGTTAGAAAGGCTTGTATGGGATGATCTTCTGACAGCATCTATGAGGTGGTTCTGGAATCCTGGTTGTTCTAAATCCTACTAATCAGATCAATGATATGTCAAAAGACCACGCTATTTTTGCTTATCCATACCACTGAAGGCACAGTTTTTCCCAACATCATGAAAACCTACATCCATAGAATACCACAAGTGCAGCCAGCTCCAAACAAGAAAATATCATGAAAATGTCCCCACTCTTGATCAAGAAGAAGCTGGAGAAACAGCGAGACCATCTTTTAGTCAACCCCTTCTTTATCTTGATATGGATTCCCATACGATTTGCTTAATCAAATATGAAACCTCATTTTTTTGTCACCAGCTATCACCTCCAACAATATTTTTTCTTAGCCCTCCTAAGCTGCTTCTCTATGTTTTTCACCACAACAATGCACACATACGTCCCCCACTCACTTGCTTATTATTCATTATTCAAGCCTTACTCTTTGAGTAATTATTCAAACTAGGCTACTTATATCATTTTCGTTCATTGGCACTAGGAGACCACCACTGGGCCAAAGCACTCATCCTGTCTCATGACGAGGTCATGCTGATAGAGGTCAGATTTGTAAGAACAGGCCTCGGAAACACAATGCACAGTAGGCCAGGATGCAGTGGTAGCCATGAGTACTTGGCTATCTCCCAAAGTTTAGCGAGCTACCACGTATTGAGTGACATGGGCGTCATCAAGTGGGATCCAACATGCGAACCTAAGGAGCAAGCCCAAGGTCTACATTTTTTCCATAAGTATTTTCTGGTAAATCATTTTTTCAATAAAGAGAGATGTATGTGTGTCATACAACTGAACACAGTACACAAATTGAGCCAATCATTCGCTATAAGATTTGATGTTTTCTTGTCACAAGAACTATTCATATGAACAATCGTATCTGTAAAGTTCATGATTGAGGTCGTCAGAAAAATATACTAGATGAAAAAAAATATAATAAAGAATTATTATATGAATACAGTTACTCTATTTGTAACCTAAATGTCTCAATTACTGCAAGTGAAACGTGAAGAATGTGGTTATCTTTTAATCAGGCAGCTACATAAAATGAGATTGATAAAGAGGTAATTGATTTGCAGATTCCTTAACACACTGGTCAAGAAAAGGGCAGCAAAAGATGAAACAGATGGGGCAGGGCATAATGGTGACAATAAATACTGCATATATTGATGAATAATTTGGATGGAAAAACAATTTTCTAGAAAATATGGATCAAATCCTTATCAGGGGACCACCATAACCACCGACTGGAAGATGAAAAAATAGGAAAAGTTCTTCTGGGATAACAGATGCATAGATGAAACAAACGAGTCACAAAACCTCATGTCATAGCAATACTTTTGAATCTAATTTTCAAAGGATTTCAGTGAAAGAAGACAGAAGGTTTGCAGTCCTAAAAGAAAGAAGATAAATGGATCAGAGTAATGCATGGTTGACTTAATCACGGGCATGATACGATGGATCTCTTGGAAAAGGAAAATATCTACGCAAAAAGCTGTCAATTTATATTTCTATGCACTGATAAATGATTTTTCACACCAGAAGCCTTAACATGAAGCTGGCTGCAGAGACTTAAAGTTCAATTTGGATGACTACTCAGTCCAACTGATTTAAGAATGTATAAGGAGTTTTCGTCATAGATGCTCATTGGCACTTTCTACCATGAGTAGTCTAGCATGAGTCAACTGAGGAAGCGGTCAATTTTACCATGCATCAAGACTCCTCTTTCCTTTTCTCTATTTTGAAGCAGAAAGCACTATAAATTCAATAATTTTAAAAAATAACGCGAATAAATATGTCATTTAATTCGAAGAAAACCAATTGGTACACAGTCACCTTCTTATCTTGCAAGGATGACCATCGAATGAGACAAGTTGTTCCAAAGGTGGGGAGTTTGATTGACCATATAGTTCAGGAATCTTCCATATTACTGCTCCATTTGTTTCACCTTCAACATTGAGGAAAGCAACGTGAGTAACAAAAAATAAATCAACTGTGACACGTATTAAAAGAAATAGTGCCAATAACAAGGCAGGTAGAAAAAACAGATAAATATATTTCTTCTCTGTTAATATAACTTTTATATCTCTCGAATATTACCAGGCTCTTTTTGAATTCCACTTGCGTAATTTCATGTGAATGGGGACAATGGTCGTCGGCTTGTCACATGCAGGTTAAGAAAGAAATAAATCGATGATAAGCCCCATCCAAATAATTGAGGTGTTGCTAGGACACTCGAACTCCCACAGGAAACAATAAAACATGTGAACAACCATTTGCATTCCATAATTTTGGCACAAAAGATGCGGGAAAAAAAATTATGAAACAAGAGCTCAACACTTATTCCACGAACACTTGAAAATGATGCATCATATCTTATCAAAGCAGCAGTGCATGCACTCAAGAGTTTTTTTCATTGATTAGCCTAGGGAAACTGGTTCACACAAGAAAAGTAATGAAAGAGGATAACATGATGGATACTGCATAGTTCTTCAATTCAAAGTCGTCAATTTAGCTCACACAATGCATGTACTGAAAAACCAAGATAAGAAGCCAATGGTTATTAAATTTAGCAATTCGCCAGAACCCAGAGTTCAACGCTTAAGTTCATAAATTAAGAAAATGCCACTTATGCTTGGAATCATTTAATTTGACGTCCATTTTTATCATAGCAAAATTTCACTGACCAATGGAATAATGGCAAGAATGATAAGGCAATTCATCAGAAGAAATACAGCCCTGTGTCAGGCACCATCAATCAAGCTACAAGGCAGTGGGCTGTGATCGACGAATTCAAACGGTAGCCAATTCTGAAAACCTCCAGTATGGCTCCGCTGCTTACCTGAAGCAAAGACTGCCGAGAATAACCGGCTGTCGAAGGGGCAAGAGGCAAGATCCCAGATCTCGCCCGGGTGGTAAAACAGTCCTTCGCAGACGAGCTCTGCCGCCGACGGAGACAGCCTTATCAGATGAACCTGAAAAATAAGACCACAGCGAGTTCCGCCAACGCTCTACGTGAGCTCATAAACTTCTGTTCTTGACGGTTGTAGGGGCGGTGCAAACCTCATTCTCCTCCTTGAGGCTCAGCGTCCCCGCAAGGAAGCTAGTGTTATTGGCATCCGCTTTGACGTCGGCAATGCATCTTGCCTGAAGGAGAACAAAAGAAGAGACGGGAAAGGGAGATTGGAACCATTAGATGCCGCGGCAGGTGAAATTTCCAAGTCCGCCAGGATCGGCCGGCAACTACTCTCCTCTCCGTCACCTGGTATTTGAGTCCGCCGTAAACTATGCCCGTTGATCCACCCTGCATCCTGCCGGCCGGCTGGCACGGCGAGCTCCGACTTCTTTCACTCGACTGATCAGAAAGACCTCAGATCTGTTAGGCGACAGCGCCTTGAGTACGGCCGTTGGCGAATAACGGATCCACAACGAGATATGGGTCTTATTGGGTCCATCATTCATCCTCCGTCATCTCAACCACAACGGGAGGAAATATTGCATAAATCTGAATTAAAATTGAAATTAATTCAGATTTATTTTATGGAAAGGGCAACCTTCGAATGGAGCACCACGAAATGATCTCAAGCGTCTCCTTGGACAAGTAAATTTGACCATGTGACTCAAGGCTAAAAAGGAAAATAAGATGAGCCAATTTATTTTTGGGCTAGTTCCCGTTGCCAAGAAAGTTTTGGGTAGGAAGGCTGTAGTATATTTTTTTTTTCTCTCTCTCTCTCTCTCTCACACACACACACACACGCACACACACACTCACTCACTCACTCACTCTTTCCCTCTCTCTCTCTCCTTCTCTCTCTCTCACCCTCACCCTCTCCCTCTCCCTCTCCCTCTCTCTCCCCCTCTCCATCTCTCTCTCTCTCTAAAACATCCACCTAGGTACACAGAGTGTTGATTGGGCCTACGCTAGTAACTCATACATTAAATAAGGATTCAGCTTGAGGCTTCTTCATGGGATTCCTAGTTGGCCTCTTGATTACCATTGTAGGGCTTGGACATAGCGTAGTAGTCTTTGCTTTCTTGGGCAAACTTTTGTAATGAGTGAGTCACCTAATCTTGCTAGTCGTTTTGCATCATGTGCCAAGTCTTAAAAATCAATCAATCAATCAATGGATTTTTTTCTTTACAAGCTCTCTCCTATGTTCTTGGAGTTGCATTTCTAGAGTTTCTATAGATCATAATACCTTAGAGTTCATCTCCACTTTGAAGTAAATTGCATTTCCAACTGCGGAAACTTTTTTCCTCAGAACAAGGAAAATAGTACTCATGTTCAGATCAGAATATGTCAAACCAGTGTAATTGAAAATTTTGTATAAGAGCAATTAAATCTCAATTTTAGTTATCTTACCTATTTACATGTTGGAGTATGTGGATAGTTTCTGCACTTTGATCAATCAAGTGGCATTGCAATTGGAGGTCATGAAGTATATGATAAAGGTCACTCAAGTGGATGAAGGAAAATTCAGTCTTTGACGCAATGCTTACTGTTGGCTTCAACAATCTCTGCTCCTTATATGCTTAAATGAGATCATCGTGATATATTAAACCCTATAAGTTATATTTTTAATTCTTAGTTGACTTTATTCAAAGAGAGTTGTGGGGATCATTTTGGTTCATGTGTAGTGTCAAGCTCTTGAAATAATACCCTTCATTCACCTTGTTGATATCCTTAGTTTTGATTGTTATAAAAAAAAATATATATTTAATATTGTCATCTATTTTATATACTTTTATGGTTTAAATGTTTAATATTCAAAAAATTAATCGTATTAGTTTTATTTATTAAATCATTATTGTTGTATTACTAATTATTATATTATTATTTTTTAATAATTTATATTAAGTTATTTTTTATCTTAAGAATACTTGAGGATAAAGAATCAAAAATGAAAGAAAGATCTCCAAACTAAAGGTTAAATATATGGTCCTTGGTCTGACTTGACAAGTGTTGATATAGTTTCAAAAGTTATACATTTCATTTGAACTATTGATATATAATATATAATCATACTATTACAATATTTACCTATTTCATATCTTTTCCACATTATATTTGATAGATTTTCTGAACTATCATGTATATTAAATCAATAAAAGAATAAAGAATGTAACAATGATTCAAGTTTTAAAAGAGTATCTCAAAGGCAGCATGTTAGATGTTTATGTGAACAAAAAAGGAAGAAAAATTTAATGATTTATATCCAATAGGGAATCCAACTGTTCATCAACTTAAGAAGCTTCAGTTTGAATTTGAATTCAAATAATTGTGAAAATAGGGATATTTTGAGCTTAAAAAGTCCAAACATAATTTTAATCACATTTTTTGAAGAATGATAAGTTTTTGAATAAGTATTATGAATATTGGAGATTCGAAAATATAAGGAAACTGATATAGAACAAAAGCTTGTTTATGAAAGAAGAGTTATGGACTAAGAAATCATCAAATACAAAAGGATTTAATGCTCATCAACAAACTCTTCGTGCTATACAAATTAACAAGGGATGAATAAGTAATGTGTATTCTTAATGAAGATATTAAGAATAAAAATAGTGAGAGGTCTAAAAATCATGTGTTCTTGGTGAGAGAGTGCTGAGAGGTCTTATGATAGTGTGTGTGTGTTGACACTTTTATTAGCAAAGAGACATGTCTAAATAAGAATTTAATGAAAATCTGAAAAGTAGGTAAAACTTCTAAAAGCCCCAACTCATCTCCTCTTGTTGGTGTTTCAACTAGCCTTACAATTCCTGCACACCTTAGTTTAAAAAGAGATACTCAGAAGATTTTTCCAAAACTTGTTTTCCCTAACAAATTCAATGACCTAGGCATCCTCATTTTGATTTTATCAAGTTTTTTTTCAAACCTAATACTTCTCTAGTCTTGCTCATGACTTATCACAAAAATTTAAAGTCAAATGCTTCATCAATGGTATTTTGAAGAAAATTCAACTAGTGGTTAAGCCTGTTGATTATACATAGTTTATGTTGCTATTAGAATCCTTATGTTACATGAAGAAAAGTTCTTGATTAGAACCAAGTTGACTAATGTAGGCAAGAATGTGGAATAACATCCTCACATTCAAGTCAAGTGAGGATCAATGTTCCTTTCGATCCTAAATTCACATGTTGTGAGCTAAAAAAACTAGTAGGAGAACTTGGTCCCTATGATATCTTAAGTAGAATTCTCATATATGAAAGAAAAAAAGATTATTCTTAATTCTAAATGGTGACTCACTAATGATAGAAGACCTTAAAAATGAAGTCTTATTACTTGGCATCATTGTGTTTGATGCAATGTTATAATAAAGAATACTCTTGATCTTAATCAATTCAAGTGACTCACAACTTGACAAATACTAACATGGTGTATAAAATAAGATTAGAAACTTGACAATAAAATTTTGGTTATATTGATCTACTTTGAGGTTGGAGAGTTGAACAAAATACATAGCATTCACAATACCTATTCAAGAATCAAAGATAAAAAAATCATATGATGTTATTACAATGTGAAAAAAAGGACTGGAGAATAAAAATTGATGAACTTTATTTTATAGTGATCGATAATACTAGCTTATGCTTCCCAAGAGTATTCCCTACATTAGCAATGCATACTCAAAAACTAATGATCTCAAAGGGATATATTTTTCTTCCTAATTGTAGGAGACACTTTGATGGGTATTGTGGGAAAAAATCATAAACATTTTCTTCATTTGACTATGGTTTTATTTTGTGATGGTGCATATATTTTTGAATAGAGAGAAATACCAAAAGGAAAGGATGCGACTATGATACTATGAGTATGAATAAGATATCACCCAATCAATAATTGATCAATGAAAAAAAATTTAAAGAAAAATATTTTTAACAAACCTATGTGTTCATGGGATTTTGCTAACAAATGGAGGTAAACCAATTGTAATTTTTAAAAAATTAATATATATATATATATATATATCATGGAAGATGCAAAACAATAATCAATGTGATAAGGAATCATGAGGGATACCTACAACATGCTTTCTTCAATAATATCATTAGTAAAAATAGACTATAAAGAGTAGGGAAATGCATACCAATTACTATTCAACAAACAAATTTTAATTGAAGAATTTATAATATAAGAAAAATCAAACTAAAATGAGTTTTTTTTTTCAACATTAGACACAAAGTCAGTACCAATAGCTAATTAGCTAAGAGTCAAAGAAAAAGGCATAAATTATGAATTTCAAAAATACAAAGGTCATATATGAATGCCTATGTATACCTTTCAGATTTTCAACTACACTATCCAGTCCACACAATTTGAAATACATATTTCTACATTTCCTTTTAGAAAACTTTATCCATGTATTTTTTCATGATATGTTGATGGAAAATAAAGGTTATATTTGACATTTAGATCATATAAGACCTATTACTTATTCCTTATTCCATGTGTTTATCATAGAAGGCAAGCATATACAATTATCAATTTACATTGTATGAAAAAATTATTTGGTTTATTTTATTAACCAAGAAATTTTAAGTGGTAATGGTTGCCCCAAATTCAACTATGCAAAAAACCATTAAATAGGCTCAAAATTCTTATAGTACTTTCGGACAAGTATTTAACAAGTATTTTGATATGCCTCAATTCCTTGAAAAAATGTCCTTGAAGGTCCACAAAAATGTTTCACATGTTCATAAAAAGATAAAATTTTCTATAAAACTTAAGGAGTTTATTTTCCTAAAGAAGTTGTTGGAGCATTGTATTTATGATGTTTTTGATGATGAAAAAAAAAATAAGAACAATTATAATGATTGAATTATACCTTATTCTGAATATACATAATATGAGGATGATATCGAAGCGTATAAATACAATTCAATGTAATATGGGTAAATGTTCATATAAGAATTCATTGAACATACTTTGGATCAATGCGTTGAATTTATAGAATTGATTGATTTTAGTCACAGAATGGGAATATTATATATTAGTTTGAGAAACATAATATTTATAGAATATGTTATCATGATAAAGTCATAGTAAGCACATCAGAATTATTAAAATATTGAGAAGTAAAAATATGAATGTGAAATCTCACTTAGTCAATTGTGTGCTCAAGATACTAGATCATTAGTTTCTAATGATTTAAATATTGATTGAAACAATAGTGTTCAAATTGCCTACTTAGTCAAATTTTGTTATGAATATCAACATGTATACTATATAATATATTCTTCACATTTTGAATTGCTGAAACTATAGTTATAAACAACAAGATCGTGATTCAATGTGTTCACGTCAATATTTGAATAAAACACATGTTATCAATACTATGTTTATGTTATTAGATCCTTATCAAACTAGATGATTAGGACACAAATTAAATATGAATGTTAAGTATCAAGGTGATTATGTGTTCATTTTGCATAAGGATATCCTAACTAATTAAGCGACATCATATCAGATTTTCAACCATTTAAATTAATTTTTATTTCAAAAAAATAGATTTTGGAAGATTTTAGGGATTGGAGAAGATATTCACACGTTATTTACCTATAAATATTAAGGATTTTGATTACGATAAATCATAGAGAATAAATTATAACATGATAATTTTAAGTGAAAATGAGATAAAAATGTCAATTCTTATCATTATTTTATGAATACATTTTATAGAAATAGGACTTTTACATTGATATCAATGTACTTTCAAATTTCATAAATACATTTTATTTATATAAAAAAATAGTACTAAATTATTTACTTTCTTTTACTTAGGATAGAAAAGAGACTTTGGCTAAAGATAAGGGTAATTCAGTCGCTACCCATTCATAATCCGCTCTTATGTCACCACGTCCTCATTCACAGCCGTCAACTTCGTGTGGATATAAATATTTCATGCACCTATTCTCTAGAGGCCTCTTCTTCCTCTCTTCTCTATCGATCTTTTCCTATGTGACAGGCAGGAAATCATTCTCCACTTCTTCCTCAACAATTTAGATCTTTAGTTTCTTAGTTTTTAGTTAGTTTTCGTGTTTTTCTCGTCCTCCATTTCGCTCTTTCTTCCGAGGCGGCATATGGGAAGAGTTTCTTACATTTCCGGCGTGTTCTTGCCTTTCTTCCTACTTCTCTCTATTCTATATTTCACATTCCTAACAATTCATGCAGCTGATTTCACATCTTTCAATCCCTCATTCCGTTCTCAAATTTCCTTTTTCTCTCTCGCACTGGCGTTCTCCCCTGCTGGCGAGTTTTCTCCTTTCCGTAAAGCTTTTCTCTCTTCTCTCCTCTTTCCTTTCCTTACTTTGACGGTTTTCCCATTAGAGATTTAATATATATATATATTAATCATCCTTCTTCGTCTTTATTCACCGGAAATCGTGATTTTTCTCACGCCGGCGATAAACTTCTCTCCGGCGCGAGTTCCTCCGCTTTCCGGTGAGTTTTCTCTTTTTCCGAATCGTTTTCCCTCTCGATCTTCCGTCCGATCTCTTCCTCACTCCTTTCCTTTTGTTTCAAACTAGTTTTCGTTCCATATTTTTTCTTTCGTTCACCGGAAATATCGATTTTTCCAGCGATTTCTCTCTCACCGGCGGAAACTCGTCCGCGGGCGAGTTTCTCGCTCCTCCAACCTTTTCCTATATTTTCCTATGATTTTTCTCTCCTCCCAAATTACATCTTCTTTTCTTCCTTAGCTTCCCCCTTTTTCTCGTTGATTCCCCCCCACCTCCTTCCACTAACGAGAACTGTATCTTTTTCGCGATTTTTCGTTTTTTTTATTTCCTTTATCTCTCCTTTCTCTCCTCTCTCTCATATGGCCCCTCTTCTCACTCCAATCACCTCTCTCCTCCTTAGTTTATTCTCTTGTATCTCATGCGCGAAGGAGTATCTTCAACCGCAGTTTCTATTTTTATTTTACGATATTTATTTATTCCTTATTTCTTTAGAAAGCAAACAAGTTGCCTTAGACATTGTCATTTAATTATTTAGAATTACTTATCTTTGTTGAACACAAGATTTGCATTAAAAAAATCAAATCATCCATGTGGATTCTACTGGGACGCACCTTATATTTCATTAATATATTTTAAGAGTTCAATTATAAAATTAAAATTGAGTGCATCATTTAACATACAACGGCTGGTGCCCATCAATAAACATTTTAATATCACCTACGAACTTGAGGTTAGTATAAAATCCTCTACATAAAATAAATCCAATAGAATGAGTGAGGTATATGTTGACTGTCTAAACATGAGAAGGTTTCAAGTCAACAATCAAACATTCAGCTCTTATGCAACCTTCCTCAACCCATTGTGAGCTATGGTTCAATTAACCTTCAGTCATAAATCCTTATGAAAATAGGAATGAAATAATCTTGCTTCAACTTTCATCTTCTTCATTGGAACTTGGGATGTATTCCAAGTTTATATCATCTTCGAAAACATGTCATGGTGGTATCTTCAATATTTTTTGTTTGATAAATGTGATATTAAATGCTATTTGATCATAAGTGAGAGTAGTCCTTATTAACAACGATTTGGCCTCTTAGAGTCATGAATATAAAAAAAATTATGAATGAAAGTCTAAAAAAATTCTCTAGTAATCAGCGATTTGTGATGAGATGATCATACATAAGAACATGATTTTTTCTTGAAAAATAGGCATGCATTGAGCCAAACTACTTTTAAATTTATAAAGCCCTATTAAGTAAACTAAGAAGACTATAAGTATTCATAAATCAAAGAGAAGATTCACTTGAAGAAGATATCTTATTTATGACTGAATGAAAAACATATTAATTCAACCCCTCTTCTTGATCTTAGTATGCCCTTAAACCCAACAAAAGTTGCAAAATGGATATAATTTATCAAGAATCCTCTAATTACATAAATTAATTCCCTTAAATAAAAATTGGCCATAAAATAAATACTTATGACCTTGTGGATAAGTCTCCACTCTTATTACATCATTATCTAGAGTGAAGTTTTAACTAACTCATTATTGCTCATAACTCTCAAGTAAAAGTCAACTCTTCACAAAAGAAGAGCCAAGACGAGAGCACGTGACATGTGACATCTTGCTGTTGCTTGTGACTAGGCAAGAGATTCTTGTCTGTCCTAATTGAGTAATAGACTACAACTATGAAATTAATGTTATAATTGTGTATCATGATGTAGCCCTATATCCTATAGTTGACAACTTGAATTTCATTAATGGTCCTATCTTGACGACTCACATGACCTGACAAAGACATTATTTCTAATAACTTATTCAATAGATAAATATAATTTGAACCACTATTCAATGACGCAAACCTACTATTAATAAACGTGCATAGTGTCTACTAATCAATTACCTGTCTATCATAAATCGGGTTATAGACTACAATTATTAAATTAACATTGTGCTTGGGTATCATGATATAACCTTGTATCCTATAGTCGTTGAGTTCAATTTCATTAATGGTCCTATTTTGATGACTTACGTTGCCTGATAAAGACATTTTTTCTAATAACTTATTCAATGGATATGTAAATTTAATTTGAACCACTATTGAATGACTCAAACCTAATAGTAATAAACCTGCATTGTGTCTACAAATCCCTTTAAACTTAAAACCCAATACGTTCAGTACAATCATAAGAACCCAATAGATCACTACAAACTAACATTGAAAAATATCATTTATTTACCCCATTTACGCTAGTATCTTGCATCTTTTAGACGTGTTAATTTGTTTTGATTTCAAAAACTCCAACCTAAGTTTCCTATCATAGAATCAAAAAATCTCATTTAGTTTTAATGGAGCTTCATCTTACTAACATTTAAGCAGGTTTAATTGGGTAAATTGTTAACTTAGTCAGATTTTAATCAGGTTTTAGTGGAAATGATTTCGTGAGAATAGTGTAATAAAACAAACTACGGTTCTCCGTAAATGATCTACATTGAAATACCAACATTAAAGATACGAGAATGACGACTCGCTTCAGTAAGCCAAAACATCAGATCAGCGAATTATAGTGGAGGGGGGGATGTCTCAAGTTTCGTGTCGTAACCTACGACCAATACTACCTTAAATTATCATTATTGTCAACTGCCGACGGCCACCATTTCAACGACCTCTGATGTAGGTCTGGCCAGGACCACCCTCCCTTTGACTCTCTGTCCATCTTCTCGCTCTGTATATCTTTTTGTCCACTTCTGTCTCTCTGTGTCCGCGGCGGAGATGGAGAAGACGGTGGGCATAGTCGGAGCCGGGGTGAGTGGACTGGCGGCCTGCAAGTGCGTAAAGCAGAAGGGCTTCCGCCCTGTCGTCTTTGAGGCCGGGGCCGGAGTGGGGGGACTTTGGGGGCGCACCTTCGAGTCGACGAAGCTGCAGTCCCTCCGGGACGCGTACCACTACTCTGACTTCCCGTGGCCGGACGAGGTGACGGAGACCAACCCCAGCCACGGCCAGGTTTTCAACTACCTTCGGGCCTACGCCGAACACTTCGACCTCCTCCGCCACATCAAATTCAACTCCAAGGTCCTCGGGATCGACTATGTCGGAGCCTCGGTGGAGGAAATGCTCTCGTGGGAGCTCTGGGCCGGCACAGGAGAGGCCTTCGGCAGAGGCTCCGCGGGAAAATGGGAGATCTCTGTGCTGCATGCCGCCGACGGTGATTCCAAAGTAGAGGTTTGTGAAGACAGAATCCACCCGTTACATCGGCACTTATAACTCCCAAAGTCCAGTATCGGACCTGGGTGAGAGTATTCATAGATTTTTTACTTTTTTTCTGGCCAGTTCTCTCTGGTTTGGCTCCTGTCGCAGACGACCGGAGCCCAACAACTAAAGCTTATAAATTAACTTAATTTGTGCTACTATAATAATACCAAGATTTTTATCAAGTCTAGATCATGCATGACCTTGGCCGATCCACAGGTCATGTTTAGGTGGAAATCACTAGTTCTTTCGAGTCTTTGTTCAGGAAGGTTCAGATGGATCAAGCCTTAAACAGCTCTCTGTTATTCTTGCTTGGTATTGTTGGACTGTCCGCTTCGTATCTGTGCTCACTGTTGGATTATTGAAACCAGATATATGAAGTGGACTTTCTGATTCTATGCATCGGGCGATATAGTGATGTACCCAACATCCCAACATTCCCACAAAAGAGAGGCCCGGAGATCTTTGAAGGCAAAGTCTTACACTCCATGGACTACGCCAATATGGGCGACGCCGATGCAGCAGAATTGGTCAGGGGGAAGCGGGTGACAATTGTGGGGTTTCAAAAATCTGCGTATGATCTTGCATCGGAGTGCGCCAGTATTAATGGTGACTATATCCTCAATCTTCTTGCTGCTCGTCGATGGCTTCATGTAAAATTTCACGGTTTGACATCTTCTCGATCTTCTTATTCTAGGAACGAAGTACCCATGCACGATGGTCGGTAGGACCAGGAGGTGGTTTGTGCCGGACTTTGTTCCCTGGGGTGTTCCCTGGACCTTCCTCTACATGAGCCGATTTTCAGAACTGCTAGTCCACAAGCCTGGGGAAGGATTTCTGCTTAGCCTCTTAGCAACCTTTCTCATTCCACTGGTACTGAATTTCTCTCTCATAGATGCAGTTTAATTTTTTTAAAGTTCATATCAAGCTAAAAAATCATCGAGCCGGGTGTGGAGAGTACCCACCATTATAATTTTAAAAATACATTTATTATTACCTGTGTGCATCCAATCGTAGCATGTATGCTCGCTGCTCTTCGACTTTTTGTTCGTCACATTCACATGGACGTTTCTCTTCTGACTATCATGACGCCTGGGGACTAGAGATGGCTTGTGGCCAAATTTTTAGAGAGCTATTGCCTGTGGAAGCTCCCGATGAGGAAGCATGGGATGGTGCCGGATCACGACTTCTTTCAGGAGATGTCCACGTGCTCGATAGCATTGCTGCCCGAAAATTTCTACGACAGGGTGGAAGATGGGAGCATTATCCTAAAGAAATCTCAAACATTTTGTTTCCACAAGAGGGGCGTGGTCGTAGACGATGGGCCCAAACCCATAGAGAGTGATCTGGTAATCTTAGCCACAGGATTCAGCGGCCGTGAGAAGCTCAAAGATATATTTTTTTCAGAGTATTTTCGGAACAAACTAGAAAGCCCGTCTTTGGGCATTCCTCTCTACAGGTATTCTCTTCCCTTCCCTTCTTGCTTGCACAGCATTGCTGATCTTCCAACAATTCTGTGTGTATCGTTCTGATGACGTTACAAGCCCGGAGACTCACCCACTGGTTGTACACTAGGGAATGCATCCACCCGCAAGTTCCACAACTGGCGATCATTGGCTACTCGGAGAGCTTTTCGAACCTCCATTCGTCGGAGATCAGGTGCAAGTGGCTGGCTCATTTTCTCAGCGGGGGACTTCGCCTTCCGAGCATAAAATCCATGGAGGCAGACGCTGCCGAGTGGCAGAGGCACATGAATCGAGGATCATGCATCGGAGTCTTCCACATCTGGCACAACGATCAACTGTGCCGAGATATGGGGCTAAATCCGAGGAGGAAGAAAGGGCTCATTGCCGACTGGTTCATCCCATACGGTCCGACAGATTATAAGGATCTCAATCCGTAATCATCCCAAAAGACTTAGAACATAATGTTAAATATGGTAAGGCCTGTGACTTTGATTTCTTCGTTGTTTTCAAGTACTAGAGTTCAATAATAAGAATAATACTCGACATTTGATCTGCAATCCAAAGAGGAAGAGAGAGTCCCTTGTCCCCACAGTTATAAAGCTCGCAATCCGTGATCACCGAGAAAGACAGAAAATAAAGTTGGTGAGGCTAATTTAAAAAATATTTTTTTAATCAAATGATAGAGTTCTAAAGCAAGAATAATATTCAAGACATGGGGTGGGTGTAATATCTTGGAGTAAACGTTCACTTGGACTTGTAGAATGTTGCTCATATGATCGACATGACAAAAAATAGTAAAGAGTAAGAGTGATCAAAATCACAACAAAAGCACTAACACAGAATTTAACATGATTTGGAGGTCAGCTTCCTACGTCCACAAGAAACAACAATCAAAGTTGCAGTAGATGTGGAAGGATTAGAAGATAACTGTCATCAATAACCAAAGAAATAAATCCTTTATTTTGGCCCTTGAGACTCTCATCAAACCTCAACGTTAGATATTCACTTGGCACCTTTCCCAAGAATCTCAAATGGGATACTGAATAGAAGGAGAGGAGGCCTTTATTTAAAGTCACTTTAGAGGACCTCAAACCTACTAAAAGATTGTTCATATTTCTAGAACGTCTTAGAACCTCAGCTGATTGGGCCGTTTCGTCAGTCCCTTGTCTGCTTTGGTCCATCCATTTTGGTCGGCCCATAAGTGGGTCATTTTAGTCCATTAAAATCGGTACACAATCGGATTGTTTATCCCTTTCACGAACGGCTCCCTCCTCCTCCACATAAAATATGACCACCTGAAAAGGCGAGTCACATTTTTAAAAAATGTAAAATTGGTCTCCTCGCTGAGTGTTTCCTCCCTTACGGCCCCACAGATCATAAGGATATTGATCCGTCGCTGTCTTGAAATACATGGAAAATGCTGTCAAATGGAGCAAAGTTGGTCAAGTCAATATCAAAGTTAGATAGAAGAAATAAACCATTCCTAGCCGACTAATTCCTCCGTTCATGTCCTGAGGATCATATGAGTCTCAATCTGTGATATTCCCAGAAGAATTGGAAAATAATGGCCAATGTGGTAAAAGTTGGTGAGGCCAATTTATTTAAAAAAATCTGTTGTCAATCACAGCATTCCATAACGAGAATAATATTCAGTGATGTGCAATCAACGTCACATATTACAAGGTTCTCAATTCGTGATGATCCTGGAAGTCTTGGACGATAATCTCAAATACGATTAAGTTATCGAGGACGATTTTTCTTCTTTTTTAAAAAAAAACTGTTAAGATGACAGTGTTCGATAACAAGAGCAATATTAGAGACAGAGGGCGCAATTTGATAAGGAAGAAAGAGCTCCTTGCCGACTGGTTCATCCCTTCTGGGCTGGCAGATTATAAGGATCTTAACATGTGATCGTCCCAGAAGACTTGGAAAATAATGTCCAATGTGGTAAACTTGGTGAGTCTGATTTCTTTGTAAAAAGCTTTTATGATTCGATAGCAAGAATGGTATTCAAGATTATGGAGGTGCAATCTGAGAAGGAAGAAAGAGTTTCTTTCCGAGTAGTTCCTCTCTTACGCCCCCGCAGAATAGGAGGATCTCAAGCTGTGATCGTCCCGAAATACTTGGAAAATAATGACAAATGCAGTAAAGTCGGTGAGGCCGATTTCTTTGAAAAAAGCTTTTTATAAAATGAAAGTTTTGCTGAAATTTGAGACATGGGTTGAAATCAAGGGTTCTTTTCCGAGTAGTTCCTGTCTTACGGCCTTGAAGATTATGAGAACCCCAATCCGTAATCGTATGGGAAGATTTAGAAAATAATGTCAAATGTGGTAAAGCGGGCGAGGCTTATATCTTTGTTTTCATCAAATGATAGAGCTCGGTAGCAAGAATAATGTTACATGCAAAAATATTATAACCTGAAGAAAAAAATATAGCATAAAAAGTGTGGACGAAATAGACCGATTTTATTGGGAGGTGGGTGGGGGCCCAGTGTAGGTTGCTTTTCTCGTAGAATAGTCAATGGTCTCAGTCAACTTCTGGGACGTGTGAACTGAGGGTGGAAGTCGTCCCTGCTTTCCACGCCACGCCGTCGTCATCATCCAGCGTGTTTGACCCGGGGGAGGGGGGGGGGGAGGGGTTTGGGAACGAGGGTTTGGAAGAAATGACAACCCTTTACTCCGCGTCTGTGGACCTCACCCACATGGGAGCTTACGCCAGTCGCCGCCGCCGCCGCCGAACTCTGCCCTTCTACCCCGCGTCGAGGTCGTCTCCGGTCGTCTATTAGTAAAGGACGATCCAAGGGAGGCGGGTAAGAAGAGATCTGAAACGCGGACCGACCTTCCCGGAGAGGAAGAACCATCCATGGCGGCGCGCCATGTTCCCCTCTTCTTCGCCTCTTTCCTCCTCCTGGTTGCCGGTTGCGCCGCTGAGGGACCCAGCTACAGTTGCAGCTCCGGGGAGAAGGTCAAGTGCCAGGCGCTGGCCGGCTACGTGCCGGAGAACGAGACGACCTACGAGGCCATCAAGGACCTCTTCCAGGTTCAATCCCTCTTCGCCCTCTACGGAGCCAACAACCTCAGCACCTCCACCGCGCCCTCCACGAAGGTCCGCGGCGGCAACGCCGTGCGCGTGCCCTTCCCCTGCGCCTGCTACAATGGTACGTGGACCTCTGATCGGCAGCCGATCTACAAGGTGAAGAAGGGCGACGGTCTGTACGACATCGCCACCACCACGTACCGCAACCTCGTCGTCTACGAACGGATCGCCGCCGTCAACAACCTGGCCGACGTGAACGTCATCCTGGAAGGACAAGAGCTGTGGATCCCTCTTCCCTGCAGCTGCGACGCTGTGGGCGGCCTCGAGACGGTGCACCTCGCGCACATTGTGGAGCCGGGGAGCAGCGTGGCGGCGATCGCCGACCAGTTCGGCACGACGGAGAAGACGCTGCTGGAGCTCAACAACATAGCCGATCCGAAGAGTCTGCAAGCAAACAAGGTCCTCGACGTGCCGCTCAGAGGTGAGAAACTCCAACCCTTCTCCTGGAACCACTCCCTGTAATTTTTCCGCCATTGCTGAAACCTCGGCGGCGGCGGCGGCGACAGCCTGCAATTCCTCCATTAGGAGCGACGCCGTCGACGGCTCTCTGCGCGTCCCCAACGGCAGCTACGCTCTCACAGCCGGCAACTGCATCAAGTGCAGCTGCAGTTCCTCCTCTTGGCAGTGAGTCGTCTCCCTCCTAATCTCCCACCTCGTTGAAGCATACCTCCGTCCTTCCTCTTCATCGTTTTCCTATCTCTCTCTCTATCAGGTTGGCCTGTGAGATCGCCAATCTGACGGCAACGAACACCTCCGCGTGCCGAGCACCGACGTGCAGCGCTACGACCTCATCCGGGCGGACGATCTCGCTGAAACTCGGAGAGGATGCCCCCAGCGTCTGCGGGTCAACGCGCTGCCACTACGCCGGCTACTACAACACCTCCAACATCCTTAACATCACCGCCGTGCCCGTGACCAACCAGTCCACCTGTGGTAATCTCACAGCGCCGCCCCCAGCGCCGCCCCCAGCGCCGCCCCCAGCGCCGTCCTCCTCGGCCGTTGACCTCCGGCCGCTGCTCGCCTCCCTCTACGCAGCCCTGCTCCTGCTCGCCACCCTCTAAGCGGTCATCTGCAGTCTTCTCCCAGCGTTCGACCTGCGATCTCCCAGTGTAATAATCCCGTCTTCTTCTTCATCTTCCCTGAGATGAGATGATTAGATGATCTTCCCCATAAAGCTGGGAGCACGAATTTCCTCTTCCGCCAGCTTGAACGCTGAACCCAATAAAATTTTCAGAGGGGGAGCGGACCAAATTTTGTCTGTCTGGACCTGTTTCTCGAGATCCTGGTGCAGAACATGAACATGAGGACGACCGTCGACATCATGAACAGCCGGAAGTAGGTTTTTAGCTCCTGCAACCCTAGCTCGATCCCCTCCACCTTCGCGCCACCCCCCCTTAGCGCCGCCACGCCGCCGCTCTCGGAGATCAGCCCACCAGAGGAGTCGCCGTAATCGCCAGAGACACGGCCGCCGTCGGTGTCCCCCAGCCGGCGGGGCGCGATCTCAAACATCAGAAGGAACGCCGCACACCACTCGTTGACGACGCTCTGGAAATCAACACGCCACAGACATTACTATTTCTGATCCGGGTGGAGGAAAAATCAGCTCCCATGGCTGAAATCACGTACGCTGAAGGTGACGGCATCCACCGGATTGAACATCCTGAAGCAGTCCTTGGAAGGAGCTTCGAGGTCTCCATATATCTGCAAGGAAGAAGACTCTTAACCAATCTCTGATCCGCCGATCACCCTCAACTGGTAAAAGAAAACAAGAATCACCCACCTCAAAGGTGAAGGAGATGGGCACTCTCAGGATGTCATACATGTAATCCGTCGAGGTTCCATGAGCGAGGTATCTGAAAGAAAAACCCTAGTCAATGATATCAAAACCTACAGTTATTGCTCATCTTTCGTTGTTTAAAACAGCACAGTGATTGCTGCGGACCCAACAGAGCCTCCGCCAGATCCGACGATGCATCTGCCATGGCAGTGGCGACGGTTCACCTCCTCCAGGATAGACTTCATGGCCCAGAACTTGGATCCGCCGGGTGTTGAGTTCTTGTGGTCGTACGGCATGAACAGGCCCTGGTCAACGATCGTTCTCAGGATTCAAGGGAACACTAATTAGTTCAATCAAAGCCACAAACATAAAATTCATTTCCTTTTATGGCAAAACATCTTATCACATGTGGTCATCAACAAGGAATAATTCAAACCAAACAAATTCCACAAGAAGGAAGCACCATAAACAACACAAGAGAAACAGATGCAGACTGTATCGATAACAGCAAAAGTTCTAAAAGTCAAAGAAACATGCTATTTTTGTTCATAGACTCGCTTCCTATGTGGGCGGTAATGATCCCTATCATACCTACTTCTAGCATAGAAAATTGATGATCTGCTCGTTTACAAAAATGGAACATTACTACTGAACTCCCAGATTTTCTCAAAGAATCTATAAGTTAGCCAAGATCATCAACGGGGAGGTACCTCCATTCCAGAGTGTACATTCACCCAAACATGCGGACTGAAGGACTCTGCGAGTTTCTGCATGATCTGGGCCTCAGGCTCGCTGAAAGGAGCTGTTCCAGGGTTTTCTTCATAAGGATCAAAGTCCTAGGAGGAAAAAACAAATTCATCAGCCGATAGAACATTTCATGGATGTTAAATAGGTGCATGAAGAGATCTAAAAATCAAGAGGATCGATCCAGGGATCACAGAGAAAGTAACAAAATCATATAGTCATATTATTGAACACGGATAAGGTAGGCATCAAACAGCAGCGTAGCAGGGTTTCTCGCATTTATTCAACCATGTACAGAGATGCGCGCCTCTGGGACAACGCATCGCAAAGTAACAGGTTTAGTCATGAAAACACTCCAAAATCTAACAGGAGCATGTTTCCAGATTCGTTAAGCGCACCTGCTCCTTCTTCCCCCAGTCCACGCTCCAGTTTCGATTGAGATCGACTCCCCTTCCTACATAACATCGAAACTCTCAGCATCTGACGGTCATCAATTTGAAAGATCAATGGTGCTGCCTACCATTTCTCCTCTCACAAAGCTCTCCCGACTCAACAAGCTTGCGCCCATTGAGATTTTCCATGGGCACTACCTGTGAAATTCGAAACTACTGTGGTTTGAGCATGCTCTCAACTGAAAACATCAGCAGCTTTTGCCAGAGAGTTGGAGCATAATAAACGCAAAAACATGAATATTCCTCATCCATGCTTCATGGAGGAGTTAATTGCTGCACAATGACAAAACCTACGGCAAAGATAAAAAAGTAAAATTTCTTTGGACGAAGAAAAAAGTAAAAACTACCAGCAAAACGTAGTTCGAATACTCCTCTGATATGCTGACAGACAGGCAATAATGCAGCATAATCATCAGACATGTGTACACATGCATGAAGTGAGAGGCTTTCTAACCAGTCCATACATTCTGGACAAGGAGAATCATACCATTGACCATAATGTTCATCATTCTCTGCACTGGATTACTCACTTCTAATTTCTGGAGAAGAATGAATTGTGCATGTAGTTTATATGTAGCTGCCAACCACATGCAGGCAGGAGCCTGACATGCCCACCAACAATAATATTTCGACTTTTCCCCTGGAATTGGTCTACGAATCAGAATCTAATTGAAGACTTTGGAACAAAAACCTAAGAGAAAATGAAATGAAAGAAAGGCTAAAAGAACAATCCTAGAATGAAAATATCCAATTTACGACTAATATTCTGTGCAGATTAACTTCTTTACAAAATTATTGGAGACCGCATGCTTTGGTGAACTGGGAGCATAATTCTCTCGTTCCCTCTTGTTTTTCTTCCCCCTCCTAGTTGGTATCACTACCTTTTCTACCTCCATGGGTCACCGAAGGGCCCAACCCCACCAGTAATCAGAAAACACCTTCTTCTATTTTTCAATTTGAAGAGTACACTGATAATCTTCCTTTAATATCAGATTAAAGAAACCTATTTTTAAGCCAATCTTTATGAGAATTGGTAATTTTTCACACTAGGCTAAGAATGAACAATGAAAGTTAATTTATGCTTCCCATTCTGCCAAAGGTTTGTCATACAGCTAGAAGGGAAACATCATCTTGATAATCTATCGCTACTTTTACCAAATCATTGAGATCATCAAAAGACCCTGAGTCCATATGAACTGGTTATCAGAGCAGAATGAAATCCTAAGTTCATCCGGTGGCAGAACTTGAGAATATACGTGCCACTGCACCCAGGCAGTGGAGATAGAACAAGTCTAGAAGATTGTCCGCGATTTTTTATTTCTCACATTCTCCCAGCATAAGGATGAGTACAGCTCTATGTGAAGACGAAGAAACCATCTTTTACAGAATGATAAAACACAGACCCCGTAATAAAAGGGATCACAGAAATCAGCCCTCAACCTAGTCCAGCCATCAATAAAGTTATATGAACTTCATAACAGAGGAGGTGATAAAAATATAAAAGTTTAAGGACATTTCGTTCTGATATCTGTATACAATCCTAACTTTATACATGTCCACTGCTAACCTGGAGTAGTGACCTATAGCCAAAAATAAAAAATGATTAGTTTTACTACAATATAAGGCTACCTTTATAACAAGATCATCAAGTACACGATCTAAGTAAGTAGGATCCACTCCAGGCACTTTGGTTTCTTCACTTAAAGCGTATAGCAGTCTTAATGCAACTTCAGAGGTAATGAGCTCCCTCCCATGCTGTCCAAAGCTCTGAAAGACAATGTTGTGTCAGGAATATGATTATCTGCTATTTCGTTAAAGCACGTATAAATGGAAAAAAAACGTATTGACTTACAAGAAGTACCCGGAATGTTGAATTTCCTATGTCTCTCCCAGAACGACTGTAAGTAACAACTGTTACCTCCGCCAAATAACCCGGGTCACCCGCTTTCATCACTTCCATCTGCACGAAATAACCCAGAGTGAAAAAGATGGCTGTGTTTGAACGAATGTACAAACGGATGCTTTCACAAAAAAACTCACGGTTAGTTGCTCAGGGTGACGACCCACTAGGGCCTTGACTTCATCCAATAGAGTACCACTGCAAAGGATTCCATTGTGGTCAGACAGGAATTCCACACAAAGGCATCAATCAAAAAGCCCCTTCAGAAGCATACAAGTGGAGATTTGAGCTAACAATATTGCTCCCTCTAGATCTGCATTACATTGGGATTAGAATCAATTTTTAGTACTTCCTTGAAAGCTCCAGGTAGTCTTCTTATCAATTATTCAATATTTATCTTTGGAATACACATGTCATTGAGTTGCAGTTCGGATGCCTGCTTCTCACTAGTCAAATTTCACACATTTCACTCTTCATTAATCACAGATTTTCTATTTTTTTTGCTTTCTCTGAGCTCTGAAAACTTGGTCAAAACAAGATAATTCTCGTCTCCTGAACTTCCAGTGGTTCATGATTGCAAGGAGATGCATAATTGCACTTGCAATTAAACCACTTACAACTTTAAATAACACAGGACTGACATAAAGCCACTCATTTGAGCGTATAAATTGGTTTTGTAATGTCAAATAGATATACAAAACACATATTTTTCAAGAACCTGAGTATTTGAGGATCCTTAGATTATAAGTTTTTGAATGGACGGTTTCTTAAAAGAGCCAAACCTCGGAGAGTGAAGTCCCTGAAACTGGATACAAGCAGATTCAAAAGATAAAGAAATAAATTTGAAGACCTGGGATGACAAGACAGAGGTAAATCCTCAACTGGTTGGGTCGGGAAAAATGATAACCCAATTCTTATACACCTTACATCACAATTAATGGAAGACAATAAAATCACGAAATAAAGCCAAAATGCCGTATATTAAGTGCGATCTCCAGGAAATTAAATGAAGAAAAGAAGAGAAGAATATTTACTCTTTCTTAGAGAGGTATCTACACAGGGGAGAAAACTATGACACGAATTTCCAAAGACAGGTAGGAAAGCATTAGAGAAATGGGAGGATAATCCCAGCTAATTCACCGAGAGCTCAACAAAAAGGAACGTTGCTCAACAAAAAAAAAGGCCCCTGTTCAACCAAAGAAAAAATAAGGTAGAATAAAGTTACAGCCGGAGATCCATGCCCTATTGCAGTCGGAGAAGATAAAAGGCACACACGGGCTGCTAGCTACGGGATTCGCAACTGATATGTGCTAACCTGGAACGATAAAGATCGTGGGAAATTGCGGTCAGAGGGGAATCAGCGCCGACGTAATAACCATTCCGGCCCGAAACCAGCAACAATAGCAAGAGGAAGCAGCAGCAGTAGCGGTCGCAGAAGAGAGACACCGCGAAGAACGGAGTTTTAGACTGGAGAGGGCCCATCCACTCCACCTACGGAGGTCCCGCCTCCGCCCCCCCTCTTCCTCGTTCCCCCACCCCTCCTACCTTGATCAGCGCATCCCTCCCTTGTCGCCCTTTTCATCTCTACTTCCTTCCCCCACCTTAATATTGGCCCCAGAGAAACATAACGAAACGGATTACAGAACAAGAGCGAAGAGCCGAAATAAACCCACTTTTTTCACCATTACTCGCACTTCGCACCTCATACTAAATCATTTGTGCTCATGTCCTATCTCCTCGCTTCCTATAAAATTCTAGACGTTCTTAGAGACGATATTCCTCCAAAAAACTTTCCACTCTCAGATAATTAAAAATTATATTCCTCTCATGTACACAAATATAACTATACGAAAGAGGGATAATAGACCGTGCTTGCTCGTATACATGAGACCAAATATTTATGACTGTATTTATTGACAAATATTGAAAAGATTTATTAATGTTGCAACTACTTCAGCCCAAAAGTCACTTAGAAGTTGCTTCTCACTAAGCATATTTTTATGTAATTATATTTTAAAATCATTCAGACGTTACTAAAACCATTCTATTGTTCCTTTTAGTTATATTATTTCGCTCTAGAGTATTTTCCAAATTGTAAATTGTTTATGAATTTCATGTTGTTTGTAGAAAAAGGCAAACTCATATAATAAAAATGATCCCCCTTTATATGTACAAAGGATTTTAATAACACAACCATTCATGGTTTCAATCATTACTTGAAACTCAATAAATTCAGAAAATACTTCTGCATATTTTTTTCTAGAAAATATATTCAACTCATGCAAGTATAACCATCAATAAATAGCAAAACATTATTGTTATTATAAACAACATCGGCATGAATTAACTCAAGTGATGACCTTTTCTCATAAGCTTTTTCAATTGGGAATGAAAATCTAATTTTTTATCATAATTATATCCTTCACAAACATATTAGTAACTAGAATTATGGTAAATTGAAAGTCATAATATTTTACTTTATTAACTTCAATGCATTAAAATTTAAATGACCATATCTCATATAAAAAGGCAAGAATCATTAGAACTTTTGATAATTATAGCAAACTTCATCAATTTTGAAATATCAAGAGGAAACATTATATTCCAACTTTAGGAATTGTAGGAAGCATATTGATTTTCTTGCTTCTAATAACAAGCATGTCATCATTTAAATGAAAGTATATCCAACCTCAATTGAATGAACTATACTCAGCAAATTGTATTCTAGTTTAGGAATGAAACAAGCATCATTTATCAACTTATTTATACTTAATTTTTTTGGGACTTCAATAGTTCAATACCTTCAATTTGAACAATTTTTTCATTTGTCACTCTAACTTGACATTTCTTTAATGTGTCTAAATTTTGAAATAATTCATTTTCACTTCTCATATCATTGTTGCATGCACTATTCAAAAAATCATATATCATTGTTATTGGGTATTGGTGCCACACAAGTAATAGATTAATTACCTTCCTCCTTCACCTCTGCTGAATTTATTTGCTCTTTTGTCTTATCCCAACAAGAAGCTTCAATATGTCCAAACTTTTTACAATGTCTACATTACATCATCTTATAACTTAATTGTTTATTCTTTCCTTCACTTCTATCATAATTTTGTTGTCAATGGCCAGATTTTCTGTAGCCTCTTCCATGACCATAACAACCTCTATGACCTTAGTTGCCTTGATAGTGATTAAATGTGATGTCATCATTGATTTCTCTTTTTGAGATCTCAACTTTAGTATGATTGCTAAAGAGATTTTTTAGAAGATCTATTAATATGTTCTTCATGGTTAATAATGAGCCCAATAATGCAATTTCTAGGTAAATAAATAAATCAAGAGATTTTTTGATTCTTCACTTGTAGTAATAATATGATCCCATTTTTAAGAAATATTTTTTTAAAAATTAGCGATTTTTTGGCTGAAACATATTTTCTAAAAAAAATTATTTGATTTATAATGACATAAAAATGTGAAAAAAATCCTAAATTGATTTACCTGATTTCATAAAGAAATAATAGTTTTAAATTCTTTTTGAGTGTACGAAATGTTATTGTTGCAACTTTTTTGTCACTTAGAAATTCTTATTTTAAAATCTTCCATGCATACCTTTACTTCTGCTACAACTGAAAAATTATAATGCCTTTTTCTGTCAATTAATGATGTTGTGGTCTCTCAAACACTATAGAATTCTAGAGTTTTGTCCTTCTAATTCATACAAGAAATCATGTTTGATAACATTTTTATTTCCTTCCAAGCTTATAACATCTGTTCCCATTAGTTTATCACATTTTGTTTGAAAACTTTGGACTATATAACATCTTAGAGAGAGATCCTATGCATGACGAATTTCCTTTTGAGCATTGAAATTTTTTGGAAAAATTTCCTCTGAAACAACTTGTTGGAGCAAAACCCTTACCATTTTATAGTCTCTTTCTCTGCAAAACCCTTACCATGAGAGCCCACAAATCTAGTGAAGTCAAAAAAATCATCATGTTTATACTCCAAAATTCATTTTTTATTAAAAATGAAAAAAAAGATTGAAAATAATTGAAAATGTTACCATAATTCGACATTTTCAATAAAATAAATCTCCCCCTTTGACAAGTAGATCTTTTGAATTCTTTTTCTTCTAGATTACTTACTACAATAATCATCTACACCACCAAATAAAATGGGATTCACCCAAAAACTGATTTTTGTAAATACCTAGCTTCAGCCAAATCTACACAGTAATATGTGATGAATGGGGATCTGATACCACTTGTAGGAATAAAATCTTAAAATTAAATGATTATATTATGCCAAAAATGGGAGAGAATGAATTGAGGATAAAATGTGAGAGAAGGACACCGACGGCTGCGCGTGAAGCTTAAATCGAAGAGAGGGAAAATATTCTACCCAATTGATGAAAATAAGAATAAATTGTATATAAAAAGGAGGAGGAGAGAGAATGAAAGAGAGGGGTGAAAAAGTAATTAAAGAAACCAATTTAAAGTAGGTCAGCTCTCTTTAGTCAAAAATGAAGGCTGCCATTTTCTCCAGCACATCCTCAACCTTCGACAAAATACGATGCAGTTCGCGAAGAACAGAGTTTGAGAGTGGAGAGGGCCTATTTACTGCTGCCACGGAGGCCCCGCCCCCGTCCCCCTCCTCCCTGATGGCGTCTTCCTCCATCGATCTTATGCTCGGCAGCCGGAAGCCTCCGTCGAGAAGCCACTTGGGCCTGATCTCCGACATGTAGATATTCGACAGGCTCTCCGAGTCACCGAGGATCGCCAGCTGTGGAATCCGCGGGTGGATGGTAACCCTGTCCGGAGGAAGGGTTCTTGAGTCTGCAAGCGAGGATTGTAGGACCGTAGACAAGCCATGGAAATGAGGCCTGTGGCCAGTTTCCCCATCTTTTCTCCTTCCGACGGTATGGTCTCCGATGCCAGTAAGAGTAAGGGAAGAAGGGCCTACCTGTAGAGGGCGATGGTAGAAGACGGGCCCATCAGTTTGTCCCGGAAATCGTCGGAGGTGAAGATGTTCTTGAGCTTCTGGTCACCCCTGAATTCGGTGGCCAGGATCACGAGATCGCTCTCGATGGGTTTGTCTTCATCGTCGACGATCACGCCCTCCTCGTGGAAGCGGAATCTCTGTGATTTTCTCAGAAAAATGCTTCCTTCTTCCACCCTGTCGTAGAATTTCTCAGACAGCAACGCTGCCGAGCATGTGGTCATCTCTTGGAAGAAGTCGTGATCCGGCACCATGCCGTGCTTCCTCATCGGGAACTTCCACATGCAGTAGCTCTCGACAAATTTGGAAAAAACCCAACTCTGAGATAAGATGATAATGGTGTAATCAGATAAAAAAATCAATAAAAACCAGTCCACTATCAACTCCCACACAGAATGCCTCACTGAACCGTCTCTGTAATTAACTTGACGATCCCAAGAAAGAATTCGCGAACGCAGCTAGATGAGCGTACCCCAAACTAGAAAGGAAAAATGAAAATTTTGGCAGTCACATGGATGAATAATCCTACGGCACTTGCATCCAACTGGTTCTGATTCCGATGGCCCGACATTCGAACAAGGTATGAGAGCCGATCGAGGGTCTGCCACTGGAGTGTATTAATGGAGTTCATATTTTGGACTTTATGCACATAAAACTTTCGAGTTACTAAGATGGGTGGGTAAACTCCGTCCATAAAGTTGGTTGGCTACATTTACGAGGGAGGCGAGTACCAGAGGAGTTAGCAGGCTTGCCAAGAGGCTGAGCATCAGCCCTTCGTCGGGTTTGTGAACCAGAAGCTCTGAGAAGCGATCGTGTAGAACAAGACGATGGGGATGCCCCAAGCAGAATAGTCCTCCAAAAGCCATCGGCGAGTCCTGCCGGCCATCGTGCATGGGTACCTGTCTCCTAAAATAGCAGGAACCAGAAGGGTATCAAAATTTAAAAAATCTCTTAAAGAAATCAGCAAGCTACCTGTTCGCTAGAATGACTTCGGGGCCTTCTTTCGGTGGGAATTCTGGGATGTTGGGCACGTCGCTGAAGCGGCCGATGCATAGAATCAGAAAGTCCACTTCATACACATGATTTGAAAAATCCCAAACCAAATAAATTCAAGAACAGGATGCCCAATTCACAAATCAGAATCTGAGTAAAGACTAGTGAGGATTGTTGGGTTCAACCACAACATGGCTTATTTGATCTGCCCAGGCCAAGTAGGATTTAGGCCTGCAGTAGAAAAGGAAAAAAAACTTGGCTTTTATAGTATTAACTCATCATTATAATTAATGATGAGTTAATTTTGTGCGTTCAATTTATTAGGTTTTGACTGCATCTGAGCATGGAGCCAATCTCAAAAATGCTACTGCGTAATCCAGATAGCGTGATGAACCAGAAAATTCTATAAATTCAATCTCGAAAATGAAAGTCTGGCGAGATGGTGAGCTTTGGGGGTAAAAGATGCTGATTAAATGAGAGATGGCAGTTGTTACCTCTGTAGTGGAATCCTCGCCGGAAGCGTGTAACACGGAGATTCGCCATTTCCCGGCAGAGCCACCACCGAAGGCCTCGCCCGTACCGGCCCAAAGTTCCCACGAGGGCATCTCCTCCGCCGAGACGCCGGCGTAGTCGATCCCGAGAACCTTTGAGTTGAACTTGATGTGGCGGAGGAGATCGAACTGTTCGGCGTAGGCCCGGAGGTAGTCAACTACCTGCGCGTGGCTTGGGAAGGTCTCCGTCACCTCCTCCGGCCACGGGAAGTCGGAGAAACGGTACCCGTCCCGGGGCGTCTGCAGCTTCGTCGAGGCGAAGGTGCGCGTCCAAAGTCCCCCGATCACGGCGCCGGCCTCGAAGACAACGGACCGGAAGCCCTTCTTCTTCACGCACTTGCAGGCCGCCAGTCCACTCACCCCGGCTCCAACTATACACACCGTCTTCTCCATCTCCGCCGCCGAAAAAAGAGAGAGACCGACAGAGAGATGGAGAGAGAGGGGTTGAGAGGGAATGAGACGGAGAGAGGAGCCAGAAGGATCGACAGTAGATTGGAGTGATAAGCCCTTCAATCCGGTTGGATCGTCGTCGACCATCGACCGTGTCCATTCTGCTGGAGGTCTGAGGGAAGTCAACGATGACGGACGTCTTTATCTGTGGAAAAATAAAGTAGATAACAATTGTGGCCCAGTTAAAATTTTTAATTGGACCACTACCACGTGCCCATTCTGCTGGAGCTCTGGGGTGCCAAAGTCAACGATGAAGGACGCCTTCTATCTCTTAAATTGATTGGGAAAAAATAAAGTAGATAATAATTGTGCCCCACTTAAGTATTTTACTTTTTATGTATGGCTGATGGACGTTCTAATAATAAAGTGGAGAGTAAAATGCGTCGAGCCTTTCTGCTGCCGTATAAACTTCCTAGAGAGAGACATGCTCAGCAGACTCCATCTACTACATGGAGAGAGATTTGCACTCTAAAGAGATGACTACACCAAGATAGAGGGAAGTTCAAGTTTTATGTGAACCTTGGAGTATATTGATATGTGACAGCATGCCATGGAACATGCAGAGGCACATACCATCTGATAATATGGCTCAGCACAAAGAGACTTTGCATTAATATGGAAGCAACATGGACAAAAACATGCAGCAATTGTTCATAGGGTGCTATTGTGACAAGGTGAGGTCAATAGAATGTGATTGTTAACCTTGCAAGGAGCTTCACATAGTGTTGTGAATGACATTAGCTAGTCCATCTGAGGAACTTATGTCATTTTACTTTCCTTTTAGAGGAATGGCCGCACCCCTTTAATAGAGACATTGGTTGCAACACAACTTCGTCCTTTATGATGTTAAGCTATTAATCATGTGTTAGTTGTTGTGTTTAATTGATGTAAATTTTCAATATTTGTAACTGAACTCTTGAAAAAAAAATTAGTATTAGTGCTAACTTCAAGTCGATCTATAATAATGATGAGATTAGTAGTTAATGATTTTATAATTTTGTAACAAAGGAGATGATGCAAAAAAAAAAGAATAAAAAGAAAAAAAATGAGGTAAGTGAAGAAATCTTCTTTATTTTGATTGACAGCCTCCTGTGATAATTGATTTGTATCTTTGCTTCTCTTAGTTTTTTCAGATAAGATAAAGGAGAAATTTAGTTATGAGAAGAGTAATTCACAAATAGAAGAGAGTAGATTAGAAGATATAATGCAGAATGGTAAGAGGAGTGATTATCAACAGAGTAAACTCCATTGATTTGGAGAACACAATGAGATAATTGGAATTAAGGTTCTAAAAATAAAATCTAAAATAATAAAAATCAAAACTGTTATGAGCATCACTCTAGGAGAAATGAAAAGAACTATTCTTAACGGGAAAAAATATTGGAAAGAGACAAACTCATTTTTTTGTCACACATAAAAGTCTTTTAAAACTTTAAGTTAAAAGGCTTAACTAAAAAGAAATCATAAGTGCTAGAATAAAAGTCTTCCTCTTCTTTCATCTGCCACCTAAGAGAAAAAGAAGATGATACACTAAATTATAAACGAAAATCGAATTGAAATTTCATATATAAAAGCAAAAAAATGAAAATTCTCTTCTTGTCTTGTTTTTCACCCAATAAAATGAGAAGAATAAAACACTAAATTAAATAAAAATGAGAAAAGAGTTTTTTAATTCAATGTTTGTCACATGGAAATAGAAAAATAGAAAGGAAACTAATCTTTATGTTAGATTGCAGCCTTGGCCCACTATGGACCTATCCCCCTTTCCCTTTCAATCTCTCAATTCTCAAGGTTGATGGCGCCTTTTCTCTCCACATGATATCATAGCAATAGGGGCTTGATCCATTGCCCTTGCTCTACTGCTCGTGCCGCCATTCCTCTGGTGTCTTTGGCACTGCCTCTATTTGTGGTGGCTTCAAAAGGGTGTCCAGCCTCTCACCAGTGGCCATATCCATCAGTTTCTCCACACTGCTGCCCATGCAGCATCTGCGCCGCTCTCTCTCTCGTGCATCCCAGCCCATGCCATGTGCTAGCCCTTTCTTGCCCTCCACACTGACACATCCGTACTAACATCTCTTGCCTAACAAGTCAGCACACCGGCCCTCTGCATACTTATCTCAAGGTATCCAGCCCTCTCCCGTGCCAGCCTGTGCTCTCTAGGGCTGGCATCAACAGCAAGATCTGACCTCAGGGCGTCATATGTGTCGATCTGACCTCTGCAGGCCTCCTATGCGTCGATCTAACCTGTGTCCAGCCCTCTCCTGTCCTGGCCTGTGATCTCCAAGGCCTCCTATACATCGGCCTATGTACACATCTTCTACCTCACGTGTCATCCACTCGTGCCTCTCGTTGTCTGGGTGAGTTCCATCTCTTTCTTTGATAGAAAATACACTAGGGTCATCCTCCCATGACTCACCCTTACCTTCGGTGACGATACCCTCCACCTTGCCTCTTAACTTGTTCCTTCCCTTATATTTCATCACGGCTGTATTGACTCGCCCAACCTACATCTTTGACAGTACCAATTATAGCTTGTGGACATCTGCATTTGAAAACTTCATTTATGCTCATTGATTTCTACATTACCTTCAATTGCCTCCGCCTAATGTCATGTCTCTAGACTATCTTCATTGGGGGCTTCTTAACTCTATCATCAACATGACTTTATTAGAGTGTTGGGTCTTTAATTCTATTGCTAAAGGACTAGCAATGATTTTAAGTTGGGGGGTGTGATAAGTTTTCATTATCATGAGTTAATAATTAGTAAATGATATAGTTTTAGCCTTAACTCATGATAAATAGACTTATATTTACATTAAAGTGTGAAAGTAGTTTTCAATTGATTAATATATTTTTTTAGGTAATTATGTGATTTTATACGAATTTATATGATTTTTATAGTCTTACTTTTGAGATATATGAAAAAAAAGAAATAAAAATAAAAATCTAGCAAAATGGGGGAGACCCGCCAGCCAGCTGAGCCCACAAGCGGGTCGAAAGCGTAGTCAAGGAGGAACCATGAGCAAGGGCTCGAGCAGCTAGGACCGATAGGGGCACATGTGCGCCACTTTCCTTCCACGTCACTAGTGGCCAGCCAGTTGTGGGGCAAGAAGTGGTCGTACATGCGTGAGAAAGGGACTTGATCAGAAATATAATATTACTATATATTCATTAGAAACTTCAACGCATAAGCAATGTGAGACTAAACCCGCATCACACCTTCCCTAGAAAAGGCAGGTAACTAGTGCGGGTTTGAATCCTCCTAGAGCCAAAACTTATTTTTTATCTGATTATCGCGACTTTCTTGTAGATTGCCAATAAAGAATTAAGCAACCAAAATTACTGGATCATTGGCAAAAATCTCGTCAATGTGATTTGCGGAGCATTGTTACTAAAATTGTTGAACAATTCACGATAAAAGGATCGCAAATCCATCGAGTAAAATATCTCCAATTGATCAATGAACAAGCCGTCGTCAGAAAGAGGACGATTCACTAGGAGACGAGTCACCACCTCTTGAGAGTGTATTGGATGCGATGAAGAGTCTCCTCTTGCTGTGCACACCTAAAGATGAAGCTCCCTAACATGCGCCCCACCTTCATCTAGCTCCTCTCTGTCGAGTGACAGCGGCTAGAGAGCCGCAAAGTTGTTGTTTTTCTACTCTGCTGGGTGACAGCCACTGGAGATGATTCGACGACCCATTTCATTGATCTCTAGACTTTGCAAGGAGATCTAGAGATTGTCCACGTTGTCATTGTCTAAGGAGAGCCTTCGAGGCTGTGGACATTGCACGACGATCCTCTTGAATGCTCAAAATTTCAGTGCATCACTGACGCATCACCGCCGCGATGCTAGAACTCTATTTTCCTACTTTCAACTTAATTTCTGCTTCATTTAGTGATAATTTATGTGATTTAAATTTACCAAGATATAATTCATTTCATTCTGATTCTTCTAGATTTTGCAGATCTTAATTTGATCAATTAAATCATCTATAATCGCTTAAGTAAGAATCACTAGACAAAATTCTATTTTCGCCAGATTTGCATTCACTAGGCGCTGATGTCATCTTGACATATGCACCCTTATTTCCCTTTTTTGTAAATTTTAAGTATATTTTATTTTTATTTCTTAGTATAAATTTATAAAAAATAATATTCTTTGAGGAAACTTTTAAATTATTACCCAATATTATATTATATCCTTGTGATTGTCCTAGAAAATTACCACTATTTTTGAAAGTTTTATTGAATTATAATTGATATATTTGTTCATAAATACTTCTAAACATCTAAAAATTCATATTTTCTAGTTTTATAAATTTTAAATTTACGTGATTTACTATACAACGACTAAGTCACGTCAAATACGTTTCTCTAACTATCTCAACTGCGAACCAAAGTTTGAATGAGTTGAAAACATATTAAGATTGATGTGAAACCTCAATGCAGTTAGATTTTTTGCCCCTAAATTGTAGCTTAAATGTGTATGTGTTTACACAAGGTATGAATATACGTGTAGGGTTGATTTCATCTGAAATCATTTGATCTAAGGTTGTGATTAAGTGAGAGTATTTCTATCTTTTTGACTGTACTAAGATGAGGTGAGAGTCAATTTCCTCTTGGGTTGATCTAAAGTGTTGGATTTGAAGGTCTTGTCATAGCCGTAGGATCTTTCTTAATGTTGAGATTCCTTGGACCCTCGATAAGTATCCTCTATTTACCGTTGATTGTGTAAACACTCTTGACGGTTTTCGATCTCCTCATTTGGTGACACCGCACGTTAGTTCCTCAGCCCTTAATTTCGTCACCTCATCTCCACAGATCAAATCTCATCCATCAAAGCATATGTTACTTCCTAAAAACCTAAAAATTTCACAGATCAAACCTCATCTCTATTGATTGTAAAACTTAGAGAAAAATTTCAAAAAAATATCTGAAATA